AAGTGGAGCACAGGGTTTAAGCTTCAGCCTCCCACGCCTCTTCAGGAATCCTCTCAGTGCTTCCCAGCAGATACAGCTGATGGGAAGTAGCTGTTTTCCCTGCAGAACCCATCCCAACATTCCTGAGAAGCCACATCTGCTGCCTGCACCCCCCTTTCCTGTGACCTACGTGCAGCTGGGAGCCCGCTGCTCCCACCCCAGCTGGGCACTGATGGAGCACAGCAGCTGCAGGGCGCTCAGCACAGGACCCCTGATCCACAGACCCTCCCTACACCTGCACCCATTGATGTGGGGCAGAAACACGGGAGCACATCTCCCGCCCGAGCCTGCAAACCTCCATTCTTCCCCCAATGCAGAGGTGAAGCCACTGCCACCTTCCAGCGTGGGTGCAGCGATGGTTCCCAGGAGGAGCCTGCAACAGTGGTACCCCACTGGGGACCTGACACACATCCCCCAGCTCCTCCTTGTCCCCCACCTAGGGTGGGACAGGAACACCCCATGAAGCCAAAGATGCCCAGCCTAGGCACATTCTGGCCTGTGTTGTCTGTCATCTGGAGGCTGGTAGTTTTAATTCTTCCTTAACCGTTCATTAATGAAGCCAAACCCTGAAGGGGCTGATGAAGGGCTCATTTGCCCTCTGCCGTCTCACACTATAGCAGGTTTTGTGTGTGATGAAGGGGAAAAAACACCACGGAGGAGTGATGGGACCATCCTCCCAGTGCTGATCCCATCAGCATCCCCACTCCCAGGGGATGGGGCCTCCCGGGCCCTGCTCTCCCCTGACCCAGACAGATGGGTTCCCTGTGGGCCCCGGGATCCCAAGCACAGGAACTGCTGATGCAAGCAGAGCCACATCGGCCACCACTGCCATGCCACTGCCTGACTTTGCTCCAGGCTCCCCTGGCCAAAACCAGGGCAGGACATGGCCCACTAGGCCCCACACTGAGACCTGCCATAATTGGCAGCCCTGAATTAGTGTAACCATACCCTCATTAGCAACTGCACACACACACAGCCTCATTTTCCCATCTCAACAAGCCCGCAGAGCAGACAAACATGGGGAGGTGCTGCCCAGCCTCTCCTGGTCCACTGCTCATCACCTGAGGCCGCTGAACTCATTGCACTTGTGCAGCAGAGAATGGTGCTGGCACCCTCATTCCCACCGCATGGTCCCCATGGGGAGATGATGACTCTCAGCACTACATTGCATGGAGCAGCCCGGGATCCAGATGGATCAGTGGAGTAGAACTGTCCCCTCCTCCCCTTCTGCTTTTGCTGCCATTTAACCCAGCTGTCCCCAGAAGTGGCTGTAAATGTACAACAGCTCCATCCTCTGCTCCAGCAGGCAAAGGGACATGAGCTGCCACCACTGCTGCTTTCTTGGCACTGTGCTGGGCTGAGAAGCTGCATTACTCTGGGTCTAAATAACCCCGGTGATACAGGATGGAAACTCGATGACTGAAAGGCTGAGAATGGACTGGTCGGAGCCTTTGGAGTATCCAAAGACCAGGGGACAAAGAGGGAGCAGGTCTCCCACCTCCCGGTAGGTGTCAGCCTCTTTGGTGACCCCATCCCAAGCTCTGTGCAGGTTGAGCCCTCCTTTGTGTCCAAGGGACCACAGAGTACCCAAACCCACCCCTGAGACCCTGGGGGACATCACTCCTTGCTCAGACCCCAACCAGGAGACCTGTGGGCAGCAACAGGGGGGACCCAGGGGTGCTGGGCTGTGTGTCCCCAGATGGCTGCAGGATCTCCCACACGTATCTGCAGACCCATGGGCTCGCCTGGGGAGAGCTCTTGCTGGCACCAGGAGGGTTTCAGTCCCCCATGAGCCACACGTGCACTGCGGGCCGGCTTCCTCCCTCTGCAGCCCCGAGCCTTTCCGCTGTTCTTCCGTCAATCCCAGGGCCGCCGGCTGCCTTCCTGCCCTGCCGCCCCGTTTCCTGCCCATGCTCCCAGTGTTCCCGGCTTTCCCTGTGGAGCCTTAGCCATCCATCCTCTCTATGTCTCTTCCCTAGGATGGGGGGAAGTGCCCCCAACACAGTGTCCCCGAACACCAACACAGCCCCGATGCCGCTGTGGAAGAGACCCAGCTCAGACAGGGAATTTCAGGGGGTCTGTGTTTCTCCACCCATTTTCTTCTAGCTCAGTGATGAAGGCATCAAAAGGAGCAAGTCTCTGGTGGGATCACCCCTGCAGAGCAGCAGTTCCTTGGCTCTCATCACTTTTGGGGATCTATCACTGACGTAGTCTTGAACCTGCAGCAGGGATCCCACGCTGGGCTGCCTTCGGGGTGGGAATGAGCAAGACCATCGATACCTCCAGTTCAAACCCTGCTGTTGCTGGGAGCTGAGGATCCCACACAGCTCGGCAGGGCCGGCCCTGCTCCGTGCCGCAGTCCCTCTGAGGTCAGGCCATTCCCACACTGATCCCGAGGGTTTCACCCAAACCGGTCAAGTGCGCAGGAGCCGCAGCCTGCAGCAGCAGCCCCGGGGGGGGGGGGCAGGGAGCATCGGCAGGATGGGACCTGCACAGGCACCTCCATGACCCAGGCAGCCACAATGGAGCATGAGCAAAGAGGGAGGCAAAAAAGATTCCTTTTCCTTCCTCCTGGAGGGATCTGTGTCCCCGCTCCATACCACAGCCCCTGCTGTCCCCCCCCAGGCACCCCTCAGGCTGAGGATAGGGAAGGGCTCCTTATCTCCCTTCCGGGTGACGCAAGGTTTGCTCATCACCACTGCTCCCCAGGGCCACCCTGCTGCAGCGTCACCGCCCCGACAGCTTCACCCAGCGCTGCAAGGGTGATGGCCCTCACGTTTCATCCCTCCCTGCCCCACAGCTGCCTGGCCAAGACCGACCAGGGTTTTCCCCCTCCATTTCCAGTGCAGCTGGGGACATCCCAGGGGACAGAGGGGATAGGGGAGGTTCACTGCACAGCAGGCGTTGGAAGCAGGCTGTTGGCAGCCCTGTGCCAGCCAGGAATAAGTGGATTAGGAAACAATCTCATTATCACTGCCGGCTGCTTCGAGAGGGCTGCAGGATGGGGACAGGGATGGGGACACAGGGCAGAGTGTGGCTGTGGTGCTTTGGCTGCTGACAGCACTGCAGCACCCAGTTCTAAAGAGCAGGGAGGTTAATTACTCAGTGTTAATTCATGTTAATTAGTCAGTGGAGCTGAGAGACTGATTCCTCCTCTGCCACCTGGCTGGGTTGAGCAGGGCCTGGATGGTGGGTGGCACAATGGTGTGTGTGATGCACCTGCATGTGCATACATGGGTGTCAGTGTCTGCACGTGCACAGACAGCCGTGCACCCACATTCCCGCGTCCATGTGCTCACGATGGGACGAGGGACGTGGAGCTCCCTGTGGGTGATTCACGCTCTTTCTCAACTTTGTTGCCCTACACCAAGGGCTGAGAGTCCTGAGGAAGCTGCAAGGATTTCCAGACAGGCTTGGGAAAACTCCCCCACTGGGATTTCCTCCATTCTTCAGGATCCAGACACAGCCCTTTGGGGGTGAAGAAGCCCCATGGGCAGCAGCAGGGGCAGGAAGAGCAGCACTGGGCTCTGCTGCAGGGAGGGAAGAGGATGGGAAACATGGCGTGGCTGGATCCAGGCAGGAGTGAGCTCCTCTCTGGGCTGTGGGCTGAGCAAGGGATGAAGCTGTTCCATCTCACACTAGTTTAGTCAATTTGGCCTCACAGCTTGTGCTGCTGTTGGCTTCTGCGGTTTCTTTCTTCTTAAAACAGGATTGCAACCACAAAAATACTAAAAAAAGGCAAAACCTTAATCTTGTAAATCCTATGCTGAAGGCCTGAGTGCAGCGCAGGCTTGGGGTGCCCATGGTCAGATGCAGCTCAGTGTCGTTATGGGGGTGTTGCAGCCACCAGATCAGCTCTGCAAATGGGACCGAGATTAAATCAGCTGCATGCCAGAACAATCCGTTACCCCTGCCAGGGCAGCAGGGATGTATCCATCCCACTGGGGCACTGGCACCACGGTGAAGGCCACACTGGGGCAGGGACACATGGCACACACTGAGGCCTTGGGCTGCCACTAACTGAGGGAAGCAGGGTCTATGTCCCCATGATGGGGCTGAGCTGATGTCGCCCCTGGCTCCCAGCCATCTGGCCGGGCTGTGTTAAAGGCCTGGAGAAGCTGGAGAGAAACGAGGTCAGGGCTGTGATGGCAGCAGGGATGGGGTCATCCTGCACCCACTTTGCCTTCCCTGGTCACCCTCTTGTTTCTCCAGTGGGACCCAATTGTCCAGAGCAGGGACTGCTCTTTGGGATGTCCTTGGAGCCCAAAAGGGAGCTCAAAGCAAGCCCCAGCCCTGACTGGTGCCATGTGCTGGGTGGACTTTGCACCACCACAGCATTACAGCAGGCTGGCAGCAACAGCAGAGCTGAGCAGAAGGGATGCACCGCACCTTGAGGAAAAGCTGCCCATGCCCTCAGCACTGCTGGGGACAGGCAGGGCATCCAACACCAGCACAAAGGGAGTTCCAAAGGGAGCCCAGAGCCCCCGAACCCCTGCAGATACCCCGGGATATGGTCAGGAGGCACAGAGTGCATCCAGAGGTGCCACTGCTGCCCAACCCTGGCACATGGTGCAGTGCCAAAACTGTGCCCGCACATGAGCACAACGTGCATGTGCAAGCCTCTGCAGGCAGCTGCCTGCGTGTCATGCATTTTTCAGGAGGACAGGGTTAGTGGGTCACTCCAGCACCCGAGGCTCTGCTCCAGCTGAGCTGCTTTGCTGCCAAACCCAGCACCACAGCACTGACAGGGCTGGGGCAGGCAGCAGCTGAGGCCACGACAAGGTGTTGTGGCTGCGGCTCCCTGGGGCTGCGATGATCTTAATGCCCTCACCAACTCCAGCCATCACACACTGGCATCAAAGAAGCCAGGCCAGTGCCCATCCTGCTGCCAACAGGCAGGAAGCAGTCAGGGAGGACACATGCACCCTCCTGGGAGATAATGCAGCCCCCCACAAGGGCTGTCAGATGCTGGGGCTCTCACAGGCTCTTGGTGAGGCTGAAAAGGAGAAGCTGTCGCAGTTAAAAGTTAACATGGAGACAAAGCAGAGTCGGGCCAGTAACGCCAGCGCAGCCCCACCAATGCAAACAGCGCTGGCTTTATGGCAGCCCAGCCCTGATAAAGGGGTGAGTGGCTCCGTCTCCAGCTGCCCCGCCTCTCCCTGCCGTGCTGCTCCCCTTGGCACTGTCATCCCCACCAGTGCCCATGTCCGTGCTTGCACACACATGTGCAATGCAGCATGAACATGCTGGTGCACTGTGGACTGGGAATGAGGTGAATCCAGACCTGGCGTGAAGACAGACCTGGGTGCAACCCAGTCATGGGGCACACCAGCAGCAACACAGGGCCCATCACCGCGCATCCCTGCATCCGCAGTCACCCGCATCTCGCATCCCGCAGCCGTTGCCATGGCTACGGCCGTGCAAGTCTGGGTCAAATGCATCTTCTGGAGCAGCCGCAAGCGATGGGGGTGGGGAGGGCACCACTGCTCTGCTGCACGCCACTGAAGTATGATGAGTACATTGCAGTGAGGACCGCCCCATGCCAGAGGTTTGCTAGCACTGAGCGAGCTCAGGGGTGGGGGTTTAGAGAGCAACAGCTGACTCCAGCCCATGTGCCCCCACCAGAGCATCCCACCAGCTCTTGGGAGGCAGAGAGTGGAACCAGCATTCCTGGAAGGCAAAGTGCTCCCCGAGAACCTTAGCACCAGGCTGGGGCATGGAGCAGCCCTTTGAGCCCATCATCACCCGGGTGTCTGGGCTGCCTGACCATCGGGCTCCCACCCAGCCCAGCTCAGGGGCCACTTTCGGTTTTGCTCCAAGGTAGAGGGGAATTCTGTTCCTGACAATTAAGCAATTCAGGGACAGCAGGGGATGAGGGAGGGGATTTCTGATGGAAAGTTGCAGACAATCCCAATTCTGCATCATTCCCTGCTGAGTTCTGCTCCCAGCTCCCACCCCACATCCCACCCTGTGGGGACTGAGCCCCTGCCCCATCTCACCTGCATGGGAACTTGGGAAGAGGCTTTTCCTGGCACCCCAGGATTTACTGGGAGTGACAGGTACTCCTGGTGGCACAGCCTCAGTATACAGGCAGGATCTCCTGGTAGAAGGAGCAGCAATGAAAGGGTTAATGGCATCAACACAGGTTCCTAATGAGGCTTTAACGTTAATGATCCATTAAGATGAGTGGGGCTGGAGTTTGTATATCCCTGTTTGGATACCAAAAAATGACACCAACCCTCCCATCTCCCCCATTCCCCCCTCCACCCCTGTGGCTCTCCCCATTCCTCCATCCAGGCTGGGTGTCTGTGTGTCCTTCCTGCTGCCTGTCCATTCATCCCAGTCCCTTCCCCCATGCTGTCCTCTGCACACACTGGCCTCTTCTCTCTGCCTGGGCTGGTCAGATGTTGCTGAAAGGGAACAATGCGACGTATTGTCTCTCCCCGCTCGCAGGCATCAAAATCCAGCAGCGCAACAAAAGGACACATTGACTTGCTGGGAGAAAGAGGCCCACACATCCCCAGCTGCCCCAGAGCATCTCAGCACTGAGCCTCTGGCCTGGGTTTGCCAGCATGTCTGCCCCATGATGTGTTTGGTTGGATGCCACCGGCCCTGGAACTTGGGCAAGAGGGGTCACCAGGATAGGCTGGGGGCCACCAGGATGGGCTTGGGATCACCATGATGGGATGGGGGTTACCAGGATGGTATGAGGGTTACTGTGATGAGCTGGGGGCCACCATGATGGGATGGGGGTTACCATAATGAGCTGGGGGTCACCATGACAGGATGGGGGTTACCACGATGAGCTGGGGGTTACCACAATGGGCTGGGGGTCACCACGATGGGTTGGCCGTGCCCCGTTGCTAGGGTATGTCCTTGGGATCAGCATTGTGGCTGTGCACATATGAGAAGCTCACTGGACTCGCACTGACTTTGCTGTGTCCCCCCTGCCATGCACCCACCTCTGCAGCCCCAAGGAAACCTGAGTCTCACCCAGGGTTGTACTCTTTGAGATCAGGGAAGGGCCCAGACATGTTCACCACAGCACAGCCGGGCTCAGGGAGCACTGAGCACTGTGGCAATCCCCAAAACACACGTGCTCTACGGCTTGCTTCCCACTGGGTGCCCCAGCTGTGGCATGCAGACAGGTCCCATGCACCTCCACAGGCAGCTACAGAGGAAACAGGAAGGGAAAAGCTCCAATTGGACTGAGCAGTGCTTTTGTTACTGTTATAAACTTCCCTTTTGTTGAGGAAGGAGGCTCTGAAACACAGTCCCTGCTAAGTACCCAACCAGGGACCCTATCAGCAGCCCCGGCCAGGGCGGGAGGGAGCAGAGCACCCATCCACCCTACCATCTCTGGTGCCAGCTGGATGCTGCAGCCTCTTTGCTCTCTGGACACCCACTCACAGCCACCCTGCTCTCCTAACACAGCCGAACCGGCTTGCTCAGGGTCAAGGAGCCCTTTATCAGCACCGAAATGCAGCCTGCGGTGGGATGCAGGAGATAAGGCATGTGGGATGAGCATCCCGCCTGGGCGAGGGATTGTGTTGGGTTCCTGTTCTCCCAGGAACAGCCAAGAGACCAGTGGGGTGGGAATGGGGATGTAGGGGCTCCTCGCAGGGTGTTGATTCCCAGAAACTCCTCCTGCCCATGCCTCACATCCCACCAGTGTCCTTGGGGCAAAGGGGGCTGTGGGCCCAGGGCAGCAGAGCCCAGCTCCTGCTGATGAGCTTGGAGGGGTTCAGGTTTTCAGCTTGGCTTTTTTTGCAAGTGCTCCAGCTGCTGGCCCAGCAGAAGGGGCAAAGGTCGCTGACATAAAGAGCCCAAGGTGATTGCTCTCTTTCCTCTGCCATGACTCCAGCTGCCAACCGCTTCCTGCCCGGTGCGAGGAGGGAAGGGGGTAACTGGAGGAGAAGAGTCCTGGGGTGGAAGCAGGGGTTGGTCCCATGGGGTGGGATGTGGGAGGATGGTACTGGAGGGAAAGGCAAGCCCAGAAATAGCAAACACGGTTACACAAGGCGCCGGTTGCCATGGGATCTTCACACCAAAACTGCCGGGGCTCTGGCAAGCACAAGAACGGCCCTTTCATGTGTTTCTAGGGGAAGTCAGCACCGGGCTGGAGCCTTTCCCAGCGCAGGAAGGATTATGGGACCCTGGGTGTGGCACCACCTTTGTGCAGGCAGCAGCAAGACCCCTGGTGATGTCCCAGGCAGACCCTTGCTTGCGTCCAGGATGCTTTTTCCTGGGGCCAGTATCAGAGCACCACTTGGCACCGACTCAGAAGCCAACCCGAGTGACAGCAAAGCCATGAGTGGGTTCAGCAACAACCGACTTCTGCTTAGTTGAAGGACTGGGAAGACCCCTTGGGCACCCCCACAGCCACACTCTTCCTCCTGCCTGCCCGGCCCCATCAACCCTCATCTGCTGCAGAAATCCCCCTCACCTGGCACTTACAGCCCCCCAGCCCCTTCACCCATCCCATCAAGGGCAGCACAGGCAGAGGCAGACCCTCAGCAGCGTGTACTATGTTTATGTGAGGGTTGTTTCCCAGGGCTGTTCCCATGCCAGAGCTGCCATGTTGGCAGAAACCATTAGCATCCATCCCTGCATAGAGCACAGCCCTGCCCTGCACTGTCCCTGCTGGAATTCTCTCCCCGGAGAGATCTAATTAGCTAATTCCTTTGCTATTTGTAAATCAATATGGAAATCCCTCTGCTTTATTCTCAGCACCACAGGTTGCCCTGGCTGGGGCCCTGCTTACTCAGTTAAAACCCTCAAGCAGATGATCAGAGGCTTGAGAATGGCTCTAGATACATGAAAAAATAATTGCATTAATTCTTTGTTAAGGGCTGGGGGATACGATAGGTGCCAGGGGCAGGGCAAGGGGCAGGAGGCTGCAGACCCAACCCCATGGGACAGGGGCTGTGTTTGCTGCAGTCTTTCAGCCCTTAACACCTACTAAATTACTAATGAGCACACAGGCTAAGTAGGTCTGGGAAGTGGAAAATAATATCCACAAAGATCTTGGATCTTGGGGGTCTTTCAGGTAGGAGCAGGGCAGACAGATTTGTCTGCCCACCCATCTGCTAGAGGAGCAGACAGAGCCCTAATCTGCCCGTCCGCTGCACCCTGCAAAGCACCATCACTTCCCCATCAGCCACAGCCTTGGGAGCCTGTGGAGATCCCACACGGAGCATCCTCTGCCCTGCTCCAGTCCCCTGTACAGCACCTGGGGATGGACCAGCCCAAACTGCATGTGATAGACCCCATGGCAAGAGGTGGCTCTTCCACTGTATGGGTTTGGGGTGGTTTTTGGTTTATGGTGTTGCCACAGCATGTGCTGTGCCATCAACATCCCTGCGACACACAGAAGAGGAAAACAGCCTCTTCCCAGGTTCAGAGCTGGAACAACCGGGTCTGTCCGGAGAAACATGCTCACTCTGCAGAGCTCTGGGGCTTGGCCACTGAGCCCTCCTGGTGCTGCTGCCGCTGGCATGGCAGGATAGACATCTGTAGCAGAGTCAGGGCTCGGAAGGGGAGAAACACTTGGGAATGCATAGGGGAAGGTCTCTATTTATAAACACAGCCCTTACACAGTGCTGCAGAAGAGGGTTTTAATTAAAAGCTGGGATAAAAAGATGTGGCAACTGGGGATTCCTTTGAGATAAAAGCCACAAGAAAACCATGGGTGAGGTTTCCTGCATCACTTCAGATGGGGACAGGGGCCACCACCGCCCCAGCAAGTCTGCATCTTGACTGATCATGCTGAAGTTTGCCCTTTAGAGCCATCGCATCTGCCTGCCCTCACTTCAGTGCTGCCCACCGATTGCTGTGGCAGGGAGCAGTGGGTATGAAGTGTTTTCTCCCCTCCAGCAAAACATGGAAGAGACCTGGGCTCTGCAAAGGGCTGGTGGATGGGAGGCCCCAGCCCCATAGATCTCCTCTCAAATAAGGAAGCTCAGTCACTCATCCAGCCCATCACTGAAGAAAACATCCTTCCAGCAAGGAGCACTAGGGCTGCCACTGGCACCCCAAAGGCTTCACCCCCAGAGCCCCCAGCTCCAGTACCTGCAGTGGGGACGGTGCAGGAGGGTCTTGGGGTTGTAACATGGATGGACAGACTTGGGTGGGTGAAAGCTGGTGATCTCTCCGGATGCCAGATGTCTTGGTGCAGTGGTGGGGCAGCATGGTGGGGTGGGATGGGATGGACAGGTTGGGACAGGATGCACTGGGGTGGGGTGGGATGGGACAGCAGCATGAGGACTCCTTGCATTGCTGCAAAGAACCAGGACAGAATGAACCTTAGCAGAAAGACAGAAAGTCACTCCCAGAGAGTGGGAAGAAAAGCCCAGACGCCACCAGAGAGCTGGTGGGGTAGAGGAAAGAGCTGTGGCTCTGCTGGGTTTTGCTCCCCAGCAGGTAATGTTTGGGAACATTGGCCTGGAGCTCACCCCCAGGAACAAGTGGCAGAAGACAAAGTGTATTTACTGACTGATCCAATACACTTTCTTGGACCATTTATCTTCCCAAAGCAAACAGCAAAGCACTTGCTTCCAAACAGGGCACGTCCTCTGTGGCTCCTCTGCAGCCCTGCCGGCTGCTTGGGCAGCTCCATCTTGCTGATGGCCAACTGAATGGCAACTGAAAGTCAATAAGGAAAATGCTGCCTGGTTTAATTAACAGAGAAATCTTGCTCTAACGAGGGTGAGATGATGTGTGTTGAGGGGAGGAGGGAGGACAGAGACAAAACATGACCTTGTTCATGGAACACAGACAGCACCACATTGTTTTCCCCAAGGAGATGATGGCCTTGATGCTGCACAGACTCGGTGGGTGCTGGGGTCCTGCCTACCCCATGGCAGGGCTGGGAGTAATGGGATGCATGGTGCCTTGATGGCACTGGGGCTGTGGGGCTCAGGACCTGGCACTTGGGAGCTACAGCTCTGGTAGGATGTGGCTAGCCAGGGAGCACCAGTGGCTTGGACAAGCACAAAAGGGTTTTGATTTGGGGACCCCCCCCAGTGAAATCAGCTGTGCCTGGGTGGGAAGGGACCCCCATGAGTGAGTATCCCATGGTCACTGCTGGTTCCAGACAGCAGCAAGGCTGTGGCCAGTGGCTATGGCACATGGGAAGCTGCAGGCCCTTTGCCAGTGTTAGTGTCCACTTTGGTTTAGTTCCATTTTCTTTTCTCCTGAACTCTCCTTTTCCAGGAAAGCAGAGAGGAGAAAGACCCAGAGGTGAAAAAACACCCTAATGGTCTGCATGTCGGGGTTCACTGCAAGGGGGGAGCTGAGGTGTGAGCCATACCACAACCTGTCCCCTGTAGCAAGACCCATTAGGATCTGATGGGACTGGGGTGAGCAGTACCTCAGGGTAAGTGGTACCCCGGGATGACAAGGCTGAGGCAAGCTGCACCAGGACACTGTCCTGGGGGTGATCGGAGTTGGATGAGTGACATCATGGCACCCTCCTATGGGTGACTGGGATTTGGGGAGCAGCACCCCAGGGGTGTCAGGGCTGGCAGCAGAGGAATCCCAGGGGTGTCAGCGTCAGGATGAGCAGCACCCTAGGGTTGCCGGGACTGGGCATGACAGGGATGGATGGAGGAGCACCCCAGAAATGTCAGGGCTGGGGACAGAGGCACCCCAGGGCTGACCAGGATGGGGTGAGGAACACCCCAGGGGTGTCGCGGCCATGGGGAACACCGCCCGCTCCCTTTGCCGAGCGCCTTGCACCAGCCCCGTCCCACAGGGACTGTCCCGTCCCCTGGGGTCGCACAGCGGCAATCCGCCAGCTCGTTCCCGACGGAGCGGCGGCTGCATCCCCGTCCCCGTCCCCCGCCCCCGGGGCGGGCTCGTCATCGTCCCGCCCCCACCCCGCTCCTTATTACCGGGGCGGCTGGGGGCTTCTTCACTCTCTCTCGGTGCCGCTCGGCCGCTGCGGCGCGGTCAGCCCGACGTGCCGCACCATGGGCAGCCAGGGCTCCAAGGCGGGGGGCAGCGCCCCACCGGCCGGCCACGCCGCCTCCACCGAGCCGGGCAAGGCAAACGGGCAGGTAGGTACCCAGTGGGGGAGGACCCCGGAGACCCCCCCGGGGCGGGCGGGCGCGCAGACAAAGGCGGCCACGGCGGCCGCTCAGCGGGGAAAGGGCGGCGGTGACGGCCCCGGGGGGCCCCTCCTGCCCGGCGGGTACCAAGCGATGTGGCTTCTCCCGCGCCGCGGCCCCGGCTCCCTCCCGGTAGCGGGTGGGGACCTGCCCGGCGCCTCGCCCTGGGACGGGGCGTGAAGCGCGGGCGCCGCCCGGTGGCAGCGCATTGACACCCGCGCCCCGTGTCCGGTGAGTGCGTCCTGGCTTCCCCTTCTGGCTCCAGGTGCCCGGCGGGGTGCGGGGCTGTGGCGGAGAGGGAGTGTGTGTGCGGGGTGCGGTGCTGCCGGGTCCCCGCCGTGCTTGATGCGGTTCTCTACTCCCTCTCCCCCCCCCCCCCCCCCCCCGCAGGAAAACGGCCATTTGAGGGTGAACGGCGACACGACGGCCCGGACGGGCGGTGAAGCGGCGGTCCCGAAAGGGAACGGCTCGTCCGAGGCCCTCGAGTGCAGCGGGGACGCCATCGAGCCTGTTCCCCCCGCCGAGGCGGGGGATGCTCAGCCCGACGGGGCTGCGGCCGCCCCCCGGGACACCCCCAAGAAGAAGAAGAAGTTCTCGTTCAAGAAATCACTCAAGCTGAGCGGGATCTCCTTCAGGAGGAACAAGAAGGAAGCCGGGGACTCCGCGGGCTCCACTCCCTCGGAGGAGCAAGGCCAGGCCGGGGAGAGCGCAGGCAGCGCGGCCGCCGGGACGGAGCTCCCGGCTGCCCCCGGCGAAGCGGCGGCGCGGGGCGGACCCGCGGCGGGCACCGAGCCCGGGGGAAGCGGGGAGGAAAAGCAGCAGCAGCCAGGGGAGCTCCCCGGGGCCACAGCCGAGCCAGGGGAACCCTCAAAACCTGCGGGGCCTGAGCCTACAGCAACCGCGGCGGAGCAGGAGGTGGAGTAGATCCCGCTTGGAATGTCCCAACCCCGGGAGTGTCACGGACTCACTGCCTTCCCCCACACCTCCGTCCCACCCAAACTGACGCGGCTTTCCAAAACCAACCCCCTCCCAGGGTGATTCTTTCCCATCTCCGTTAGAGACCTGGTTTGGATTCCCACCAGCGCCACTGCAGCTTGGAGTAGTTCTACCGGAATCCTTCACGATGGTGGAGAGAGATTATCCTGGACGTAACTGGAATTTACAGTTTGTGATCGCTGCTGGCTCCTGGCAGTCCTCGAAGCCTAAACTGTTCAGTGGATCCTTTTTCTTCTCTCTTTCAGGTTTACATTCCTGGTTCTGACTTTAAATGAAAGTATTTTGTGTTTTTTTTTTTTTTTTTTTCCCCTAGAAATCAACGGGTTAAGAGCTAACCTTGTTAGGTTTTTATAATGGCTTACACTTGGCTTAAAACCACAAAGCTTGTAAGTCCCCTGTGTTTAATTCTACTGTAGGGGTGTGGGGTGGGCTGGCAGGGACCTGCAGCTGTAAACTGTGAAGCACGTTGGGGTTCTCTGTAAATAATTACTTTTTTTTTTTAACGGCCAAAACACTTGATTTGCAATTTTCTAAAAAGAAGAAAAAAAAAAAAAGCTGTATGGGCTTTCTTGTAACATTTGAAAGGAATAAATGGTGACCCCTTCATGGGTGAGCTCGACTCCTCCTTGTCCTGGCTGAGGATGGTCCCAGTTGCTTATTTAGTTCACCAGCTGCTGCATTTAATCACTCCAGCCCCATTAATTGACTTGCAGCAGATGTAGAGCTGCAGCCACAAGGGACTTTCTCACACAAGCCTCTTGTCACTGCTTTGGGCCCAGGGTTGAACTGGCTGTTCTGTACCTGTATTCTTTGGGATCTGGTAGGGCAGAAGGAAAAAGCCTTTCCTCGTAAAGAGGAGCCCAGGAGGGCTCCTGTGTGAAATTCCCATTTTAAGCTTGGTTTCTTTAATTCTAAATATTCTTTAGACTATGATTAACTCCTCTTCCCTGAAGACAGCTTGGAGTACAAGAGCCATGCGCTGGGAGCAGAGATTTACTTGCAAAGAGAAAATGGGTGTTATTATCTCTTGTCCCATTGATCTGCATAGGGACAGAGGTGATGTTTCCCAAGCAGGCAGTAGTACAGACCTTGAGGGCTGTGGCCTCACCTTAGAGCTGCAGCAGCAGCCCCTCCATTTAATGGCCTGCTCCTAATTCCTAACTCCTGGTATTTGGGCTGGCAAAAGAGATAAGAGAAGGGCAAGGACCCTTATTTGCCCAATGGGATGGTGGGGCCTGGGGTGAGGACTGCCTTCTGTAGCCCTGGAGTAGCTGGAAATAGCCAAACTCTTGGGTTTACATATCACATCCTGCTATCAACAGCTAAAGCAAGTGACCTGATTCCAAATGCAGCCTGATGTTCATCCCTAGTTATCTGGAGGGGCAAAAAAATGGGTATTTTAAATGTACTCACAGGTCTGCAACTGATTTCCAGGATCGCTGGGGGTCTGTGGTGGGAGATGGAGCTGCAGTGAGCCCCAGTGGGATGCAGGGCTCAGCCCACTCCAGTGCGGCAGCCTGGCAGCCATTTTGGGAGACACTGGTTAGAAGAGGGCTGTGGATGCACATCAGGGAGCATGAGCTGGGCAGGGGTCACCTCAATGGGGCACTTGGTTTTGTTCAAGGATGAGAAGATTTCAATTGTCTGCTGTGGTGAAGGGGTAACAGTGTTTCCTAGAGCAGTATTCCAGCAAGGGAAGTCAACTGTGCCATACGGAGGTTTGTTTTGCCGACAGCAAAACCAGAATTAAAATCCTTTGCTTATGAAGCTTGAGTCTTTTGAGCCCATTTCAGGTGTGATGCCTGTTACAGAATTATCCTGCTCTTACTTACATTAAATAATTTTTTTACACTTGAATACCAGATAAAACCCACTCAAGTTCATCCAGAAGATGCTTCCTTCCCATAACATATTCCTTTTCTGGGTCAGCATTACTTTCAGAGCATCTACTGCATGAAGGACCAACTCCAAACATACCGCAAAGCCAGTGCTGATGGATAAGAACCCAGCTGTAATTGAGGAGACAAACAACCCCCATGACCCTTAGGAAAGTTGTGAGCACACAGACCCTGTGGTGTTTTGACTTTTTGTGGAGAGAATGGGCATGAGGAAAATTTCAAGGCTATTCTGTAAAGCACAGGGGAAAATTAAAAACAAACCACAAAAACCCCAAACATCAACCAAAGAAGATGAGGACACCTTTCACCTGCAGCATGGGATGTGCTCCAAATATAATGTTTTGGTGAATGGCATTTAAACCTACACATCCAGCCCTCTTCCTGAAAGAGGGAAAGCAATCCTGCCTCACCTCATCTTTCTTTCCAAAGCTTTGTTACAGCTGCTGTGTTTTGTGGCTTGGATCTACATTATACTTCATTATCACGACCAAGCTACCACTCCATTTTCCATCAATGGCTCTGAGAACAAATTAAACCCCAGCTCTTAAGCATTTCCTCTCAGCAGAAAGCAGCACAAACTCACACCACCCATAGAAACGTACCAGTTTTATTACAAAGATTCTCAAAATTCAAAATAAAAGCATCTTTAAAAAAACACACTATATCCCCCCAACCCAAAGGTACACTGATCTCTCTCACTTCACATACAAACACTGAAGAGCTGGAGTGAGGTGTCACTCAGATTCAAAAAGAGACTTAAAAACTCATGGTGGAAAAGGGAAAGAAAGTATTTAAAAAAATAAAACATTTAAAAAATAACCTGTGTGACGTTAGCAGCATTATTAGAGTTGAAACTGTCAGCGGTGCTCCTTGGGAGGTACAGATCCTCTTAGGGCCAGAGGAATCGCCCTGAGGAAGGAGAGCAGCGAGTCAAAACTGCCTGCAAAACTTCAGCGAAGTATTTCCCCAGAAGCTTATCTAATGATCTGCTGTACACAATGAGATGCAAAAGAAAGGCCAGTTCTGGTCACAAAAGAGACCTCTGCGTGTGAGATAATGTGTGGGAGCAGGAAGAGGAGTAGTTATAAAAACAGAAACCCATCTGCTGTTCCCTGATAAAGATAACAGCTTAGGAGGCTGGTAAGAAGGGTCTCCTTGCTTACTGGCCTTGAGAGCAAGAGAGAGGAAAGGTTTGGTTTGATAATGTTTGTAACTTCACTTCAGAGAAGAGTTTTTCATTGACTGACACACATCAACAAAAGATGTCAGCCAAGTTCTGTTCATGAATGGTGGTTTCAGGGTCAGGACACGGCTCAGTACTGAGGAAAGCCCACGATGGCATATGCAGCACGGGCTGAACCAGCAGGGAAAGCAAAGCAGGCAGCCAAATGGGCAGTAACTCAATTCCCTCCCCAAAAAGGGGCGTAGGTGTAGAAAAAAAGGTATAAAAGTTTTATCCCTTCTCTTACTCGAGATGTAGAATGCCACACCAACTGGATCTGCAAGAGCTTGGAAAGTATTAACCACCACATGAGGGTGATTTTCAGTTTGCTTTTTCCAGATCTACACCCTCAGGGCTCTGGGGCTGGTTCACTTTTCAGATTACTTTTAAGCTGCTTCGTCTCTTTCCGCAAGTTTGCTGCAGGGAGGTAGCCAACTCTATTCAAGAACTGCACTATTTGACCCTGAGAAGCGGCACCAGCTTGCAGTTACTTGCCATGATGGAATCAAATTGAAAACCAAAGGAATAATTAGTTTCTCACAGGCTTCATTTAGGAACTTGGATTCTCCCACAAAACAAAAAGGAACTAAAACATGAGAAAGAAAATTCATGGCCATCTCTTTCCACATAATCTGAAATGCAGATACTACTTCTATTTAAATTATTCTTTTCCAAGGGTGGTTATTTCAGAGGAAAGAGTAAACAAAGGAAGTGATTTTTTCTTAAAGACACACTATAAGGAGGCAGTGGAAGGCAGGAGTGAAACTTCCCAGTCACCAAATCTGGGCAGTGCAGGTCTGTCTACTCCGCAAAATCCTCCCTATCTGCTCCCAGCGGAGTGCAGCAAGGAATAATTTACAGTTCTCAAGTCATTTATATATTTATATAGAAATATATACAGAAACATATATAAAATATAAATCCTATGGAATAGGAGGCAACCAGAGAAGCTAACCTATGACAGCTACACACTGACAGTACTGTCCAGCTGCAGCCATCTCAGGTGGATTTCATCTCTTCCTTCACCCTGTGGAAGCAAGCAGTGAAGAATTTGGTTCAAACAAGCAGCCCAAGCTTTCATAACAAGTCAGGGTTGTTTGTTTAACCCTAAAAATGCTGCTTATATGCCCCATCTTCATCTAAAACTTGCAACATGTTACTAATGAAGGAACAGTATTTTTAAGCCCCTTCCATGGAGGCTCTCACAGTGCCTTATCAGATGTGGGGTTCTACATAGGCAAATTTCTTCCCATTAAGAGCCCATGACAAAGCCACCCAAACCACCATGTCTCTCCTCCAAACCCTCAACTTGTGCAACATTCCACTGGTGGAATGAGTGCTATTTAATCGCAATGCCAGGAAATGGGGCTCACCCTTTGGGTTCTGCTTTCTCCTCTTTTGCCTTTTCCTCTTCTTTCTCATCTATGAAAAAAACAAAAAGACACACAGTAGTGCAGTAGGAATGTACATGCCAGGCAAAGTTGCAGAGCTGTGAGGGCTTCTAGTTCTAGCTCTCATTCTTACCCTTCTTCTCCTCTTCCTCCTTTTCCTCTTCTGTTTTCACACGTTTAGCTTTCTTGAAGTTGGCAATGTTTTTGCGCCCTCCTTCCCCTTCATCTTCAGAGTCAGAGAATTCTTCATCACATGATATTCTCTTATCAGAATTGCGAACTGAGCATGAAGAGGACAAGGAGTTGTTTCAGGAGATTTAGAAGTCAGGAGAGACCAAGCACTAACTTCTCCATGTGCATCTACACAATGGAATGAACTACCAAGCCTATGTAAGTCAGAATTAGGCCATGATAAAGACTTTATCTTTCTATGTGCTGTATCTTTTAGCTCATCACACAAACTACTCATGCCCAAGATGCCAGATCACATGTATGACTTGGAATAGTCATACTACTTGGAATAGCTACAGTGTGATGTCTAGACTTGACGGTGTAAGAAGGTTAACCAGCCTCACACTGAGAAAATCTGCCTGCCAGATCTAAAGGCCATCAGCCAATCTGGATACAAACTGCCATTTTCACTGTGGAAGACAACTTGTGGGATCAAACCTGACAGTCTCTCAGAAAGCATCCTGTCATAGCACCTCCATCACAGGAACTGTTTAAATTCTCACATTAAAGCCTAGGTTCTTTCATTATGGAAATCATCTGCCAATAGTGCTACTTCTCCAAAGGAAAAAAAAAACAATGAATCTATCAGCCCTACAGTGCTGAGCTTCGTCACTTTATCTTACAACATCAGTTGGAAAGATTCCAGCTGAAGGACTGCAGAATCAAGCTGTATCTAAACCATAGCTCCCATAGCCCTTTATGAAGGTAACTCAGTCTGGAGCCTGCATGTTTCTCCAACTAACACATCTTGCCCAGCTTTGACACCCACAGGCTCTGTAACAGTACACTGCTCAGCTGGGCAACACAACCACACCAGAGACAAGCACGTACTTGAAATGCGTTTCTCAGGATCTTCTTCTTCTTCATCCCCACTGTCTTCCTGAACAGCATCCTCAGGAATTGGCTGCATCTGGACACCAGGGGCATGAGGCAGCATGCGCAGATTCTCAAAGAGACGTTGCCTAGAGCCAGCCAGGAAAGGAATACTTCCGTCAGCAAGATGCTATCCGTGGCTGTGAAGCCCTCGGTGGAAGGTGTCAGTCTCGCGAAGAGGAGCAAACACTTACTTGATCTTCTCGAGATACTCATTGGTATTCTGGTTAGTCATGTTTGAGGGACTGATGTGGAGCTTAAAGTCTGGTCCAAAGTACTCAAAATAGTCATTATACGGAAGTTCTGCAGGCAAGTTAAAAAGGAATAAACACCAAATTACCACTGAACTGGTGATGAAATACAACAAACACTTTGTACTTCTACAGAAAAACACAACTGCATTTACCTGGGCATAGGAGCCAAAGCTCTCCTAGCCCAAATTCAGATCAAAGCAGACAACTTGGCAACAGTGCAGTCAAAGCTTACTTGGCAATTAAATGCTGTGCACACCTAAGTTTTCAATACAAGGTCATCTCATTTCAGTAAGTTGGCAAGGCTGCTGTGTACCTTTTGCTGGAAGGGGAGAGCTACAGGACTATAAATGCAAACAAGAAGAGCTACTGCAAATGAAGGCATCCAAAAGCTCCTCTGAAGTCACAATCAAGAGCTAATGAAACATCTCAGGGTTGCTACCTCTCCCACAGCACCATCACTGTCCTGTGCTCTGTTACTAGAGTATCCCTTAGTCCTTCAGTCTTTCTTCAAAGGGGAGAATTACCATTGGGAATTTCCGTGTCCAAAGCCACAGCAGTCTCATAGGTCCAGCATCTAGCCACATTGCGGATTGTGTAGCCACCTCCTCCCAGCATCAGCATAGGCAAATTAAAACTTTTTACAAACTCCACACACTTGGCATGACCTGCAGCAAAAGCAGCGGGGGAAAGTGAGGTCACAGCCTCATGGCATAAGAACAGCAAACTTTTCCATGAAATCTCATTTTATCAGTTATGCCCATCCAATAAAGGCACTGCACAGTACTCTTACCTTTGATGGTCAGATTAAAACACCCCAGCCTGTCCCCTGACAGAGAATCTGACCCGCACTGCAAGACAACTGCGCTAGGCTGGAACGTCTCCATCACTTTAGATATAACCTAAACAAGAAACTTACTGTTACACACTCTCCACAGGACAGTGTCACAGCAACACACTAATATCCATGTCAGCAAGTGACATGAAGACATCCTTAGTATTCCCACAGCTGCTGACTCCCCTGTATTGGTAACACTGAGGCTCTTATGAAGAGACGCTTAACTGCTGACAGGCTGCAATTGTTAGAGAGGAACATAGACTGAATCAATCCCCCCAGAAATTGGCTTAATGAGCTACCCAAAGACAAAGTATGAACCACAAGGAATCACTCAGCAAAGTGAGTGATATTCAGACTTACCGGCTTGAATATTGCTTCATAGGACTCATCATCAATTCCGTCCCGGAGGGGATAGTTGACAGCGTAGTACTTGCCTTTGCCTGCACCAATATCCTATTACAGTGGAAGACAGGAGAGACCACAAGTCACCAGAGAACCAACTGCAACACAGAAATTGTTCTCCAAATTAGGAAGGAAAGCCTGGGATTCCATCAGTGTAATCTGAATGTAAACCCAGGATTTGTCTCATGGACAAATATTGTCCTCGCAGAAGGCAGCAGGAGGCAGTTGACTCCAACCGCAGCTTATTGGCAGAAGTGGGTGCACTGGCCCTCAATGCTCAGAGAAGAAAAATCTGCTATTACATGTTGTTCTGAGCACACAGGCTCTCATTTCCCCTGGCAAAGGCACTTTCTTACACAGCAATAAAACTGGCAGCCAAAACTCTAGTTCCAAACCTGTACAGTGCAGAGATGTGCAGCCCAAAATACCAGTCTGGGCTAACTGTGCAGCCTAGTAACTGACGGAATCTATATTTAAGACTATATATATACATATATATATTTACATTTCTATTATCATTCTCATAACCAAGTGTTTTATTAAAAATAAGGGTTTAATTTATGGTGCAGAGTTGCACCAGGCTGCACCAGGAAAGAAACTTGCAGCTGCATGCAGCTTGGCATTACCACAGACAAACTCTAAGCAGGGCTGAAAAAGTACAACTCAAGTGGAAGAGAAAAGAATTTAAATCAGAAGCATATGAAAAAAAGTAAAGAACCTTTCATCTCCAAGAACAGTATTCTGGCAATGTCACGAAGTGAACCACACCTACATCTAAACCAAACTAGTGCCATGTTTAACACCACAATTCGTGAACCTGCAGAACTGACTCACAGGAGGAAATGCCAACAAGATAAACCAGCACAGGCGGAAGTACTTCCTCATAAACCTTCACCCCAAAGCTTGCATGTCTGAGCTTAGTTTCCAGGTAGCCACAGAGGACCAACATACCATCTTCACAGTCACTTTTCTGAGCATAATCCCACTGGAAGGCCAGCAAGAGACTGACAGCAAAAACCTTGGGTTTATTACTATACTGGCCATGATTACAGGGATAAGGCACCCACTCCAAGAGCTGAGCCCTCAGAAAACGGATGCCACTTCGAGAGCAGGAAACTTGAGGAAAACACTGATTTTAGTCAAATTAGTATAACAGCAAACATGGTAGAGACCAAATTCCAGGGTAATTTTTTCACTAAGCCTTCATTCTCACCCGCAGGTCCCCTGTTCCTGGGAAGTATTCACCATACTTATGAAAGGACACGGTCATCACACGGTCTGTGGTATAAAAAGCTTCCTCCACGCCGTCTCCATGGTGGATATCAATGTCAATGTACAGCACTCTCTGGTGATACCTAGGATCAGAAAGGAGTCAAAATACTGCATTTCTTCAGAGCAGAAAATGTCTTCATCAGCACAGCAAATGGGAGGAGAGGAAGAAACTTGGTGCTAACCCGCAGACTGCCAGCTACCAGGCAGCTCCCTCTAAGGGATCTACAAGCAAAAGAGCTGTGAAGAACAGACACGAGCCTTGGTTGCCAGTAGAACAGAACCACAGAGGAAAATGAAGTGGTTTCTGCTGCTGCAATTGATCTTTGAAGGCAGACTCAACTCAGTTTATTCAGATTCAGCCAACAGACTGCATTTTTATGTCAAGCCTCCCCATGAGGTCTGCCTTGAGCCAAAAGCTGTCACATATTAGAGCTGTGGCCCATATTCCAGGGTGGGTGGTAAAGGGAAGGGTCTAAAAGCAAGCACACAATGCTTCAAGCTTCCTGCATAGTGCCACCACTAGACACAGCCCTTGAGAGAGAGGGTGCTGCACCCCAAAAAAATAGCTGATTAAGCCCTCCTGGGAAAACACAGCTTAAAAAAAAAGCAATAAAAAGAGAAGACTGGGAAGAAAGCACTAAGGACTCAGAGGAAATGCAGCAGAACAGACAAACAAAAGGGGTAAACAGCAGTGCCCATACTTTAAGAGTTCCAAGATAGCCAAGACGATATCATTGACATAACAGAAGCCAGAAGCCTCTGACTTCTTAGCATGGTGAAGGCCTCCTGCCCAATTCACTGCAATATCTGTCTGTTGCTTGTTCAGCTTCACAGCACTGGCTGTTGGGAGAAGAATTACACAGCGTTAGCACAAGAGTAAAGGCCCATGACAGAGACCAAAGGGTAAAGCACTGGTCCCTTATGGCCACCTCTCTGCTTATGTGTGTGTTTGTGTACTTCACAAAGCACAAGGCTAAGGGTTTAACACTGGATGCCTCCATAAATGAACAAAAAGCAAGGGAGGAGACATGCAGCTCTGTTTTGTCTGCATACACCTTTCGTAGCTTCCCACTTCTGCCTCAGAGCATGAAAGCTCCACAAATACACAGGATTCTAGCTGGGGTGACAGCTGAAGACAGTTGAGACTTCTCAGTGCCCTGAACAAAAGATTTTAACAAAAGGTCTTATACAACATAAATGTAGGTCATTCACTGAACATGCATTCAGACAAAGGAAGTTCTATTCCCCCAACCCCTTTCAAAAACATTCTGCAAATCCTGAAAGTTTACCAGATTCAAAACAAATGATGTATTCTGTGGGATTAGGACCAGAGAGCACACAGCCACTTCAAAAGATGCTGCAGGCACCCTGTTTGTACTGCTGAGCTACATTACAGGAAATAGAGACTTCTAGATGCCACTGTGGGAGTAGCAGCCACAAAGTTTTAATACCTTTGCATAGGGATATCAGTCTTTCTGCTACAAAGTACTTGAAAATAGCAAAAGCATTTTAAATGTTGCAGCTTTCAGGGAGCTTACTGAAACCTTGCAGATTCTGTTTTGCCAGGTGTCCATGAGACACTGGCATTTTGTTAAAAACAACAGATAAAGTGGCCCTTGTCTTTCCTTTTCAGGTTCTGCCTGCCCTGAGCCAGAATGTTAACAACTTCTTTTTTGTTTTCTTTCCTGTAAAGCTGACATTGATTTTTTTATTAAACCCTTGTTGCTGCTGTGGTTTTGTTTTAACTATATTGCTGGTGATGTTGTTATACCAGTTACAGAGCTTCACATACTCGGTGAAGTAACCTGGACTAGTGAAGACACACTTAATAAATGTAGAGGGATCTGTCAATACACAAGGCTTGAACTCTCACATGGGAAGAAATCTGGATCTAATTATTAAGTAAATCAGAAATATGTTCACAGAGCTTCCCCACCACAACCTACAACAATGTATTTCCCAGACAGAATGACATTACACCCATCTGCTTAAAAGGAAAGAACATACGACTCATGAGCTTACCAACTGAACCTCCGGCAGAGAGCTGACAGAACTCAAACAGCCCATCAAACACAGGGCAGTCTTCCCCAACATTAACTTAAAAAGAATACAGAAAAGTTAGCAAGACAAAACTTCAAGTGGCAAAGCTTATACCACCACTCATTTAAAAACCTAGCCAGGTAAGCGAGCAACAGTTTTAAACACTTACAAAACATGAACATAATCAACCTGACGATGCCTGACAAGGCAAAAAAGGGTTTTGCTGTAGAGAAGATGCTCTTGACTTGCAAGAAAATAGGAAAGCAGGTCCCAAGAGCACGGGTGAGAGCAGCATTCCATCTACTGGGAATCCAGAAACCAGGCAATCGCAGTGGAAAATAAGAGGGCAGGGAGGAGCTCCCAGTGAGAGCTGTGTAATAATACCCATACATGTCCTCAGCTGCAACTCAAGGTGGATTTACAGTACTCTGCTCTGCTCAGGCAGCTCATGCTGGTCACCATAGGCACATACAGGCTGTGCAAAATGGGGACCACCACTCCCTGCTACACCGCACAGGCCATGCTGCTGCCTGGGCACCATGTTTTTGTGGGGGTTGAAGGAGGATAGTGTTGTTTGTGACTATAGAGTGACACCAAGCTCCATTACACAACCCCCCAGCAAGGGGGAAAGGGTTTTGTTTCTGTTTCCTGCTGTATTGCTGATGAGGAGCTGAGAAAGCAAACAGTGCCAGCACTGCAGGAGAACATGGGGAATGGCAGGGAGTGGTGGGTACTGGATGAGAAGTTCACATCCACATCTCTTTTGTTACACTTCATAAATTCCTTTTACTTCACATTGGGCAACCAGTTTTTAAGTTCTCAGCAGTACTGTAGTTCTGGCCTAGATAAATTTTTTACTCTGAATATTTCCATGATTAAAAATTAAAACAGTAACAACAGACATATTGAATCTAGATTTTGCAAGATTTACTTTTACAAATAAAAAAAAAAATCTGTATTTTTGTAACAACATCTGTAGAATGTTTTCTTCTGTGTTTAATGAGAAAGGCACCACCAGCACAGCTCTTGCAGCACTGGAAACTCATCACTGCACAGACTCCACAAAGACTGTGTGGTAAGGGAGCCTGAATGGCCCCAGTTTGGGACAGGGAGACCCAGAATGAAGCAATTGCTCCTGCTTTCCAATTGTTCCAGCAGGGCATGGCAACTGGCAGAGTTTGAATAATCAACTCAAAGAGGCTGGAAACTTTCCCTGTTAAGTGAGGAGAATTTAAATTGTTGATTTCTGCATGCTTCCCATCACAGCAAATTAAACTTCTTGCCCTTTAGGTGACAGAGCAGCTTTCCCAACTCCTCAGGCAGGCAACGGACATGAACAGAATGAAATCAGAGCCTGTTCATTACCTTTACTGCCACTCAGAACTTTGTGGGCAGCACTGACATTACTTGAAGGCATCGCTCTGCTATACCTGACAAAGAAAGGAACTGCTGTGCAAACAGATGCCAGTTGGGCTTTTTCCCACCTGGAGATTCAAAGCAGCCAGGACTGCTAAGGAGGGATTTATTAACAGGGGTCAATCACTGACTGTAGGCATAAATCTCTGGCATAAGACAATGAAGGGCATGGATGCTCCTTTTTCCTTGCAATGGGTGGGTGAGCAGCTTTGTATCTGAGAGAGCACAATCAGATAGAGACCAGCATTAAAGGTGGAAATATTCTCATGGAAATCATAGCAGCTACCCTTCCCTCAAAGGGAAAGCTGAAGCATCAAGCAGGCTAGAGTTCTGCCACTGGACTTGGGAGCAGTGACCTTGTCTCCTATATCCCTTTCTCTGTTCTGAGCCACCTGTGCTAGTTCTCTAGCTACACAGGCTATTTTGAGGTCCTGTTGAAGCAGAGCTCTGTCTTCTGCGTGTTTTAAGATTAATTTTCATATTTTGCCTCCTCCAGATAAAAATGGTTCTGTGGAAATAGAGTACAGAAAATGCTGACTACCAGAGAGCAGAGTGGGGTTTTTTTGAGCTTTATCTGCTTCAGGAGCAAAGCATTCAGTTTGTGTAAATATGTACTTTGGTACGTTAAGACATACCATTTACTGTAGGGAGTCTTTCAACATACATTACTTATGAACTATGTTACCCATTTTTGCTTATGCCTTAATACCTGTCCCCTTCAGCTCATACCACATTTTCAACTGCCTCTACTTCAGACTCAAGACCTACAGCTCCTCCAACTTGCAGACTACACTTACTCCACCTAAATAAAACCCATGGGCTAAGAGCTTTTTTCTGCCCTTGAGGACTGCAGTATGCAAGGCCAGAATGCTGTTTAAATTAACTTGGAGCCCTCCCCACTATACATACTTGCTAGAAATCTAGTTTGCCACAGCTATTGCCAAAGAACATCAACTCAGAGTTTCAGAGACCACGAAAAAAGGTTTCTGTAACATTAAAGTCACCTTTAAAGGCCCCTCCATGGACTGGAGAGGTTGGAACAAGAGATTATCTCACAAAATAAACCATTCTAACACCAAGCGGACAAGTATTATTGTGCATCTCAACCTTCCCCCTACTTTCAAACTGTCACTACCCTGAAAATTCTTCAGATTTACTGCAGATTTTGAACAGAACTTGTAAGTTGTGAAGGGGTTTTTTTGTTTGTTTGTTTTAAATTACACAACCCTTTACCCACCTCAATACCCCTGGTTTAAGGTAAGCAATAACACAAAACACATGCAGCTCATAAATGGAATAGTTCAGTCATCTCTGATTAGAAAGGCAATTTTGGAGAGTTTCCATCAAAACACAAGACCAAAAAAGACAGCCAGGTCAAAGGGTTTTCCTCAGCTCTTTTGGCATATTAGCTAAAGAGAGGGACCCATTCTAAAAATGCATAGTTTAACAGAAAAATCAAACCCAAAGTCAGGATAAAGACAATTTCCTGTAGTTCTTTCTACTACTTTTTATCACAAACCTCTGAAGCTAGCCTGGGATTCCCAGAACCACAAATTTTAACAATGGCAGGAATAATGCTTACATCTTTGCATCTGCTTGCTGTACTCAGACATGTTATCTGGGCGAATAGATCTCAGAAATTTTATGTAGTCATCACTGTGGTACTTGGTCATTTCTTCTGCATTTGCCTTGTGAGGGCGCTGCAAGGACAGAAAAAGAGCGAGGCTCATTTTGCAAGACATCTCTCTCCCTAATTCCCATTTCCAATCTCAGATTCACTCCCAGGAACAGCAAAAAACTCAAACCAGCATCATTAAACAAGGGAAACTTATTTTCAACAGTTAAGAATGTCACTACCAGAGACTGGCAAGTATTACATATCTAGACAAAGAAAGTATTTAAGTTGCAGGAAGAAAAGCAATTTTCCAGTCTCCAAAGTTTATCTGAAGGAAAGAACATCTCATTATAAGCAAGCAGAAGAAATACATCAAAAAACTGGTTCCTTTCCTTTCTTTTCTCCTTTCCTTTTCCTTTCCCTTCCCTTCCTTTTTGGATTGTCAACAGAGAACTTACAAGTCTAAAGCATCAAACGTAAAACCTAACACCTAAACTAAGGTCTTTCACATGAATTTCTCTTCACAACCAGCCCTACACTTACATATATCTCCATCTTCCTGTACAGGCCATAGTTCAGCAGTAGGTTGTGGGTCATCCGGATCCTGTGGGGCTTCATTGGATGTCCCTGGCCATAATAGTAGTTTCCAACATCACCTGGGAGCAGAAAGGATTTTATTATAGCAGGGAAAACTACGAATTCCTTCAATCGGGATCACAGCAGAGCCACAAATCCACCAGGTCATCTGTCATTTTATTTGTCCTTCATCAGCTCTCTGCTCCCAGTGGAATAGGGGCTCCCATCTTGTTCACAAAGGTATCTGCATGGATTCAAAAAAGCTTATCCAAGAGTCAAACAAGACAGACATTTGTAAATTAGGATATGGCCAGACAAGGAATTATTTAATGCCAGTTCTGAAGACAATAATCTAGGAAGAGCCTGAACAACCTGCACAAGAGGAAGGAGCTCCAGATTTCCTGGGCAGGATGAGCTTTGGGCATCACTTCTGCCTTCCTCAAAGCACTCCAGCTCTCCAATGTCCTCTCCAGGTGGTTCAGGCTCACTGTGGTACCTCACATCTACAGCTCACAGGTTTCGCTGTGAAATGCAGCCACGCTCTGAGCAGAAACCTGCACACCAAGAGGTACATGAGTCTAATCCCAGCTCAGACAGTGATTCACCAGTAGGAGCACATAGCCTCTGCCTCAGTTTCTTACTATTTCCCTAACAGAAACAAGATAAAACCCTGACAATAAGCAAACACCACAGCAGCTATAGTTTTGCCATTTTCAACCCTTATTATTGCTGGAAATCCTGCAGAAGAATCTCAGTCCCACACACAGACACACCTGATGAGCTATCTGTGGGCATCAGCATTAATGAAGTTGGCTTCCTGTCAGTATATCACACAGATAAATCACACAAATTTATCATCCCCATATGTGGATGTTCTCCTACCTAAGCAAAAGCTAAGCTCATGCTGCACTCTCTCATAGCAGGCACTGCTGGGTCTCCCCTCTTCTCTCCCAGGGTACTTATTTTCATAAAACTTAGAAATTTAATTCACAGATTTCTGCCTCCTGTCTGATTTGGCTGCAAGAGACAGAGTCAAAACTTGTAGAGAGCAGGAAATGCAGACAGCTACACACAGCAGCAGTCTGAGGGTGGTAAGGCCCTGGCACAGGTTTCCCAGAGAAGCTGTGGCTGCCCCATCCCTGGCAGTGTTCAAGGCCAGGTTGGACGGGGCTTGGAGCAAACTGCTCTAGTGGAAAGTGTCCTTGCCCCTGGCAGGGGGTTGGAACTGGATGAGCTTTAATGTCCCTTCCACCCCAAAACAGTCTGGGATTCCATGATTCTACGATAGCACCATGCAAGCCCCATTTTACTGGGAAACCAGACTAAGTTGTTCATGTAGTTGTACAACTCCCCATCAGTTTAGGAAGCAGGAGACCCAGTCCAGTCTGTCTGGTGACTCAGTTGGGAGTATTAATATTTCATCACCCATCTTAACATTCAGGAGAAACTGCTTCCCCAGTGCACACATATGTAGTTTTTCCTTCTGTGAACGTGGCTCTATTTTTTAATCAAAGTAGATGCAAACAGTGCAAATCCTACACCCAAGCAACTCTGCTGCTGGAGCTTACCTCTCCTGTGGCACTAAGATGAAACAGGGTGCCCTCTGCATGAAGGTATTATATTGGGGCAACTATCCCTTCAATAAAATCAGGTTAAATCAAGCTTTGGGGAATCCTGTAAGAGATGCGTAAAACCCTATCTAGAAAATACAAGCACAAAACTACATGAAGCTTTGAAAAATCATCATCTTCACCTCAGTCTGTCTGCAAAAGGCCCTAGGCACGCCCATACCTCTTCCAGAGCCTGATGATATTCACTCTGCTAAACACATCCCACCACAGGTCCACCAGAGCAGCAGACTAGCTTGTCTGCTCATGGATGTCAGTGCAGATGAAGTCTGAACTCAACAGGTACCTCTTCCTGTTTGCTAGGGTTAAATAAGTCCCTACACAGGGAGCCTATAAAGGAGAAGCAACTGTTCAAGCTCAAACCTTTGCATAAACCTCAGCACCCCTCAGGTTTTCCAGGAAGGACCCTTAGGATACCCAATTATTTTTTCCTGCATTGCACCTAGACCCTTCCCTACAGCTTAGGTTCCTTCTCCAGCACAGGATGCCCTCCAACTATCTGGAATTTATGGAACACCCACAAGCCACCCAAAACAGTTCCCAGGGACCTCCTTTCAGGGTGCAACTACCACATTAGATTGCGCTGCTCAACCTCCCTATGTGGAAAATAAGACCCTAACAAACTAGCCTCCCTCAACTGCGGATCATGCCTTCCCCAGGAAGCACACTTTTACCGTAGGACACATTGGGGATGCTTGCCAGCCACTTGTAAAACAGCAGTGGAAAGAAGACCCTAAAACCTCACCACAGAGTGCAGCTATAGATGAGAGCATGTAACGGTAACTTCACATAGCTACCATGCAATAATGACGACAAGGATAGCATCTCTCTTAGCGTTTTCAAGCAAAATGCCTAGTAATTTCATATTTAAGACATCACTGTGTGCCTTTAAAGATTATAGCTTGTTCACAAACTGCTGCTTTGTGAGCAAAGTGGCAAGCTGCTTTGTGAACATGTCATATTCCAAATCCAGGGATAACTTTGGACATCATCTTTTACCCAGCATCCAGATCATGTGCACATGTGTGGCATTCTGTCACATCCCACAAGCACTCTAAGTTTAAAACAGGCATTTTAAGGGGCAGGGCTCCAGCACTCCCTTGTATTTTGGTATGATTGCACAGAGATCAGTTGCATGGTGAAACTGGGCTCAGTTTCACTGCACCTATTGCTCTAATCCAGATTCCTCCTCACCCTGCTCTCCTGGAGGCACTGACTGAGTCAGAGACCCTGCAGACTGTCATTACAGGTTGCAAACCTGCTTAGATTGACTTGTCCAGAGAAATAAAAGCCCTCACTACATGCCTGACACATGCAGCAGTTTAGAAAAGCCCCACTTCATTGCTGGAACACTGAGCCCATCCACTTTGCCAGAAAAATTAGTGAGGTTTTTATTTGATTTCACAGACTGAACACCATGAGGAAACAGAATTGTACAATACCTTTCACAGCCTCTGTTAAAAACGAGCTTGCCCATCACCAAGGCAGCAGTTCACCCCTCCAAAGGGAGGAGGTTGAGAATGTGCAGATTGTGATTTCTTCCACAGACTATGGGGTAGAAGCCATACATGATACCCAGCTTGGGATTTGGCCAGCCCTAACACCCCATTACTTCCCAACTCCAATGGGATGATTATGTAGGCCCAAAGAAATGGGTCTCAGCCTTGTAACAGAAAACAAAAAGAACCAGTCTACAGTCCAGCCAAGTTCACAGCCAGAAGGAAACAATGTTCCCAGACACAGGAAACTCCCTACAACCAGTCATGCAGTCCTTCTGGCTCCTCACACCTCCATCTTATCCCTTGCTTGACAGCCAATACCACTGTCCCAAACTGGAGCTTCAAAAGAGCCTCTTCATAATGTGGCTTGAGGAAGCTTAATGTCCCCACAATCCATCCTGTCCCCAGCACTTCCCGGAGTCCTCCCCATTCTCCTAGAAACCTTCTTCAGCATGGCTCCCAAAGCCTCTCTTGTACTCATACCCCCCTCTCCATCCTGGACCCTTTACAGCCTTTCCCCACTTCGAAAGTCTCTACATCTCCATACCTCCCCACCCTACACTACTCCTGTCTCTCCCCAGTGCTTCTCCCCTCTCTTCCCCGCACTCTTCCCTTTCTCCACTCCAATGTTTCCCCATATCACCTCCATGCTCCCATGCTTCCTATGCCCGCAAGCATCCTCCATTCTCCAACCCTCCTACAGTCCCCACATAATCCTGTCCATATCCATGCCCTGACCCCCATACCTCTATGCCCCTATCGCTCCCTGCCCTCCAGTGCAGACCCCAGCCCTCCCCTGTCCCTCAGTAGCCCCAATACCCATTCCTGCACCCCCTCATGCAGCCTCTGCACAGTGACCCCCATTACTCCTCTCACCATCTTCAGTGCAGCCCCCAACCCTCCCCTGTCCCTCAGTGCCCCCAATACCCATCTCTCCGCCCCCAGTGACCCCCATTACTCCTCCCACTACCCCTCCCACCACTCTCAGGACAGCCCCCAGCCCCACCACCCTCCCCAATAACACCCCTACTACCCTTACCACCCCTGCGGCCTCCAGTGACCCCCATTACCTTCCCCCAGCCAACACCTCACCCCCAAGCCCAATGACCGCAATTACCCCCCAGTGCAGCCCCCACTGCCCTCCCCCATTCCCTACCTCCCCCTCTCCCCACACCCAGTGCCCCCCTCAGCCCCCCCATCTCGGCGCCCCCTGTGGCCGCCCCACCGGTGCCCTGCGGCCCCTCACCGTCGTAGTAATAGCAGACTTTCCGCTTGGTGCCCTGCGTCAGCGCCATTTTCCTACCTCCCCACAGCGACGGATCCTCCCGCCGCCCCGCACAACCCAACCCGGCCCATGCCCCGCCGCCCCGCCCACCGCGCAGCCCAAGGCCTATCAGAGAAGAGCGCTCCGCACCTCTCCCTCCCACCAGCCAATAGGAAAACGCAGCGGCGGGGAGAGCGCGGGAGCGGGGGCAGCGAGCAGGCTAGGCGGAGCGGCGGGGTGCCTGGGCTGTACCACTGCTGGGGGGGGGGGGGGGGGGAAGAGGGGAGGGGAAGGAGAAGGAGCGGGCTGCACCATCGCTGAGGCGCGGGGAGTGGCGTGGGGGCAAATGAGGAGAGGGTCCAGGGGTGTGGGTCGGAACCATTTGGAGTGGGAGGAGACAACAGGTGGGGTTGAAGCCATCGCGGGGTGGGTGGGACACACAAGGTAGCGGCCTCTACCAGCACCCAGGCTTGTCCCACCCGGGGCTGGTGTAAGAGGGACTGGGGGGGGTCTCAGGTCCCAGGATGAGGATGAGAACGGGCCGGGACCCCCAGCAGCACCCCCGTCAGAGACTGCTGTGAGTGGAGTCCATCCCCTGAGGCCATAGGGCAAGCACCCTGCTTGCCCTATGGCCTCACAGCGGCTGAGCATCCCTCAGGGCCACAATGGCAGAGGCCTTTTTCTCCTCAGAATGGCTGCTGTGAACACCACAGTGAGAGCAAGCAGCACCACACAGCCAAGGGCTTCATCAGACATCACTTGCGGGGGTTCCTGCCATCACTGGGGCTGAAGGAGCTGGTGAGGCCCATGGGCGAGCGTCTGGCATGGGCCTCGGGCAGCCCCTGTGGGCTGGAGGCCGGGTTTGCACCCAGCAAGTGCAAAGGGACAATGTGGGGGGAACCCAAACGGCCCCACATCACACCGTCAGCCCCCCCCCCCACACCAGCCCTCTGCTCTTTGGAGTCATTTGTCGGCTTTGCCCATCCATCCCCTCCTGAAGGAGTGAAATCTGCTCCAAAGACTTGAAGTGCTTCAAATCTTTACTGCTGAGGTCCAGGCAGCACTGGCCAACACCCCAGGTAATGTACATAGAGTCTGTGGGGACCTGGTGCATGGGGAGCAGCTCCGAGCACCCCAACCCATTGTCCTTATGGCTGCTGCTGGTACTGGCCCTCAGTGGCGGTGAAGAAGTCCTCCAGCACGCTCTTCATATACTCAAAGGTGGGACGCTCCTCAGGCTTTTCCTTCCAGCACTGCATCATCAGTTTGTACAACTCCTTTGGGCAGTTGTCTGGCTGCGGCATGCGGTAACCACGCTCCAGGTTCTGTATCACCTCAGGGTTGGTCATTCCTGCGAGGAAAGGCACACAACACTGCGTCTGGGTCACCCCCGTGTTGCAGGTAGCACCCTACACTTGCAAATCCTATGGGAAAGCTTCCTTCTCCCTCTACTGCCACCGAAACCCGCCGTGGCTGGCCACATGCATCAGGAAGTGGTTGAAACCATTGCGGGCTGTCAGGGAAAGGAGCCAGATGGGGCAGCTGGGAGCGTGTGTGCGTGCAGGAGTGCATGAACACACTCCTGGGTGTGCGCTTGCGTTGAGTGCGTGTGTGTGAGCCCTTCTGCTGCACAGCTGCTGGGAAATCCTGACCTGGATACGGGATCCGGCCATAGGTGACGATCTCTGTGAGCAGGATGCCAAAGGACCAGACATCTGACTTGATCGTGAATGTCCCGTAATTAATAGCTTCTGGCGCCGTCCACTTGATGGGGAATTTAGCCCCTGAAAAACAGCAGGAGTCAAGGAGAAATAAAACATTACAGCTGAGCTGGAAACATCCCTCTCTGTGTAACTGGATGTGACAACCCTGAGGCTGCTTCTGTCCCCGCTGTATGCCTAGGGACAAGCTGGGTTTGGTGGCAGCCAGCTCACATGGATCCCTGCTGTTTGGCCAGCTACAGAGCCCTGAGGCAGGCCAGCAGCCCTGTTCCTGCAGTAGCCACCAGGCAGAGCTGTCACCCCACCAAAAGCAGGGTTAGGTGGGCATGCAGGGACCCCGCAGCCCTCCTTCAGCTGGGGGGAGAGAGATGGAGGGGAAAGGGTCTCTGCACCCTCCTGCTCCCCTCTCCTGTGGTCACAGGCAGTCCTGTAGCTCCCAAGCCACCTCAGGGACCCCAAAAAGAGGCTGGGGTGGGTGGGGAGTGTTTCTTTCTCCTGTAGCCCTGAGCTGTGTGGACAGACCCTCGCGAGCCGTGTATTCGTTGTCCTCGATGAGCCGGGCCAGCCCGAAGTCAGCAATTTTGCAGCACAGAGTGTCCGACACAAGGATGTTGGCAGCCCGCAGGTCACGGTGGATGTAGTTCTTGGCCTCTATAAAGGCCATGCCCTCAGCAATCTGCAGTGTAGAGTGATTGCAATTAATCACCACCAGCATGACAGAACCCTCCCCACCACCAGCCCCACAGCTCTGCCTCCCCTCACCTGTGCTGCCATGTCCAGCAGTTTATTGATTCTGAGCTTGATGCCTTCTGAGGTCTTGAGGAAGTCCACAAGGCTGCCTGCAAGGAAGGTGGTAGGTCTCAGCAGCAAGCTCCCAGCTGGTGGGAGAGCTGTGATGCAAGGGCAGAGTGGGGAGGGAGGTGAAGGATGCCAAAAGCAGCTTGAGATCCATAAGCCAGCACCAACCACTGGATGAGAACAGCCGAAAGACCACAGCTCTTCACAGCATCTGGGTGCTCTCACCCTTTTCCATGTACTCTGTGATGATGTAGATGGGCTCCTTTGTCACCACAGCATACAGCCGCACCAGTCGTGGGTGCTGCAGGTTCTTCATGAGGTTGGCCTCTGCCAGGAAGGCACTGGGTGACATGCTGCCCTGCTTCAGGTTTTTGATGGCCACCTTAGTGTGGCCATTGTAGAAGCCTGCAGAGAAATGGGGCAGAAGGTGATGGGAGAGAGGGACTGCTGGGGGATGCATGGCAGGGAAGGAGACAAATAGGAGGGCTACTCTGATGCTCTACAGCATCCCAAACCAAAGCTGCCCAAGCAAGAGATGTTGGAGGAGGCAAAGTTTGGTTGAAGACACGCCATGGACCCTTGTGCCCTGGAGGGCTGTTGGCAGCAGGACCATGCTTGCCACCTCCTGGGCAGTAATCTGTAACTGCATTTTAACTCATCAGGCAGATACTTTTACATGTGGCTTTCAAGCTCCAGGAGCAAAGGAAGCTGTTGGTTGCTGGGCTTTAAACAGGGAGGCTGGGGGAGCTGGGCAGCAGTGCTGAAACCAGTCCTGTCCCAAACCATCCCATCCTATCCCATCCCAGCCACCACTCATGGGAGCAAAGGCAAGGAATTACCCCAGTGTCACCAACTCACCCATCCAAACTTCTCCGAACTGTCCTGCTCCCAGCTTTTCCACCAGCTTCAGCGACTCCCGTGGAACCTCCCACTCATCCTGCCACCAGGGCTTCTGCGGGCGCTGGGTCCGGCAGGGCTTGCCCAGGCGGGTGCACAGCCCATCTGAGCAGCCTGCAGCGCAGGGCACAGGGCCTGTGTCAGAGCAGGCCGAGGGCACAGGGCACCCAACACAAGCTACTGACTGCTGGGGCACAGGTAGCAGCATGTCCTGCTCATCCCATCCTGTCCTCTCCTATTCTGTCCCATCCCATCCTGTTCCATCCCATCCCATCCTGTCTCATCCCAGCTGGTCCTGTCCCATCCCAATCCATTGCATCCTGTTCCCATCCCACCCTATCCTATCACAAATGGTCCCATCCCATCCCATTCCATCCTGTACCATCCTATCCTATCCCATCCCAACCCATTCTATTCCCTTCCTGCAGGCAAGACCAGCTCCAGGTAGTACCTACGTGTGTAATACTCCACCAGCTCATGCAGGCTGCTGAAGGTGATGCGGGGGGAGATGTAGTACCCCCCCTTGTCCATGTTGCGGATCTTGTAGTGCTTCACTGTCTCGCCCTGGTTCTGGTCAAAGTCCCTCACCGACAGTGAGTAGGAGCCTGGGAAGTCAGGGACCATGTGGGTCTGGGACCCTGACACTCCTCCTGTGCTTCCCTGTGGCAGGAGATGCCAGCAGGTACCTTTGGAGGTCTCGCTCTCTCGGATGAGGAAGGAGCCATGTGTGTTGCCCGAGGCCAGGAGCTGCCGCTCTGCATCTTTGCGGCTGATGTTTTTGAAGAACCACCTGAGGACACGCAAGGCAGAGTTAGGGCTGGGAAAGCTCAGGCCACCTTCACCCACCCTGGCTCCTTCCCACTCTGCCAGGACACAGCTCCAGCTGCTTCTCAACCCCTACTCACGGCTCAGGCTCCAGGCTGTTCAGCAGGGCCACAAAGTTGTAGGGGATCAAACCCTCCTGGCCGGTGGTGAGCGACTGAGCCTTCCACCATTCCCCACTCCTGCAAGGACACAGTGAGGTAAGACCCTCCTGGCTGCTGGGATCTGCATGGATGCCCCTGGCAGCACTGGGATGGTGTGCAGTGGGATGATGCCGATGTGGGTGCTGGGACACCTGTGGCAGTCACTCACTCTTCCAGGATGCGGAGCTTCTCGCCCTTCTGCAGCCCCAGGTCCCCATTGTGCTTGGGCTCATAGTTGTACAGGGCCACCACCAGCTTATCTGGGAGGAGGGACAGGGTGGCAGTGGCCAACTGTTAGCCATGGCTGCCCCCGCCATGGACCATAACTTGCAGTGGGGACCATACCTTGCAGTGGGGAGCACGGTGGAGATGTGGCCTCGTAGGACACCAGTGGGTCTTGCACCTCGGAGCCGTTGCGGATCAGCCTCTGCCAAGGGATGAGGAGCCCTGAGAGCTCTCACCTTCCTGGGGTTTGGCCAGCTCTGGAGGTGTTTGGCCACCAGTATGGGGGGTGGGGGGTCTGCTCGCTCCCTCCTACCTGGGGCTTGCTGTCGGGCTCAATGGGGTAGTTGCAGTGCTCACAAATGTCAATGTTCTCGATCCAGTCCTCGTCATAGTCTGAGCTGCAGCAGCAGCCCATGGTGGCTGCAGGGGGTGATAGGTGGTGAAGGAAGCCTTCAGGCCCCCCTTCCACTCCAGCACATCCCCATCTTTGAATCTATTCATCTTCCCACATCACATGGCTCATTCCACACACTCTTCAGGTCCTCAGCTGAACTGGAGGCATCCTCTGACTCCCCATATTTCCTCCTAATCATTTTGTTCTGGCTTTGTTAATTAAAAACACCGAAGGCAATTAGTCCCCAGTCTGAGGCTCCCATTTCCCACTGCCACAAGCCAGCCAGCTCCTTCAGACTCTGCAACCCTTGGGCTGGGCCCTGTGTTCTTCATCAGCTAACAATCTAATCATGAGTATCCCATTACCAGTTAATACAATGGCGTGTTTTACCAGACACCTCCCTGGCACCACAAGCAGTTCCTGGTGTAGAGGTAGGTGCGAGCACTCCCCCACCAATGCTGCATCACCTCTGATTTCCTTCCCCACCCTGCAGGTTCCCCTCATGCATTCACCCCATCACTGTACTCCTGTTTCTCCTTCGTCAGGGATGTCCTTTAAGTCCTCATACCTGCTCAGGGGCCCCTCATCCTTGGCAGGTCACCCTGAAACATCAAGGTCCCCCCAACCTCAAGCCACAGTGATGCCAAGCTGGTGTACCTGACACCACAGTGTGAGCACTGGGGCAGCCTGGCAGTGATGCCATGAGCAGGGTGTGGACTCTGCAAACCAGCCATCAGCTCTTGCCTTGCCATGAAAGCCAATCATGACGCGGGGCCGAGATTGCTGGCAGTGCCTGATGTGCAGCCAAAGCCCTGGAAAAAGCTCTTCCACAGAATCCCTTTTGCCTGCACCACCGTGATTTACCTCCACCAAGACCCAGCCCCCAAACCCTCCTTTCCAGGCTCTGCCCAGGAGCTCTGGGGGCTCTTGGAGACCCCAGCACGGTTTTCACAGGCGCTGGGCACCAGTGGCAGGTTGGGACCCCCACACCATGCCCCAAAACCAGCACCTGGAAACAGCAGCCGCTTTGGAGCTCTATCTGGCAGCAGGTGGTGCAGGTGTGAGGGTCCCATCCGTGCCATGCCCTGCAGCAAGCTGGGTCCCCAGGAGACCCAGACTGGCAATGTTTGCTGCTTGGTTTCCTACCCAAAGGAGCCATTGCATGGCTGTTTCCAGAAGCACATGCTTAAATCCACCTCTTTCCAAGGTAGTGGGGGGCTTTGTTTGAGTGTGTGCCCCTATGGGTGGCTGGGGACACAGAAAAGAGCCTCATAGGGGGACCCCAAAAATGGTGCAGGGTCCACAAGGTGCCACCAGCCACAGATGGCCATCGGTGATGGGTGATCTGGGAGAGGAGAGCGCAGGTGAGTGAGCTCCTTGCCCATGCCGTGCAACACCATTTTGGGGACTCAAAGGCTAAAAAACACCCTGATGCCTTCAGCTTCTGGTTACGGCTACTTAGGAACCCCTTTGGCACCCAAGGAAAGGGGTTTGGGCGCATTACAGCTCCCTAATGCAGGCAGGAGGAGAAGCCTCCACTCTCTCAGACCTACCCACAGCCCTTCAAATGCCTTCACTGAAGGCAAGGGTTGCCAGGAGGTATTTTTTCCTCCCTGCACCAGCTGGGGTGAGGAGGGAGGTGCTGCTATTGTGCATTTTTGTCTTAACACACTCAAGCCACAGAAGAATTTCCACTCAGTGGCCATGTCACCTGCATGGTGGAGGGCCTTGCTGGTGAAACACCATGTTTGAACTGGGTGTTTGGTGCCTGCATCTGGTGCAACTGAATTTCTCTGCAAGGGATGTGTAGGTGCCCCAGTCCCATGCTTTGTCATGTCTGCATGTGTGCACGCCTGTGCATGGGTGTCCTTGCATGGCTGTGTATGTGCCTCTCTCCGGAGCATGTCTAGACCCCTGGTTCATGCTGGAGGAGTTGCCCTGTGCCAGCCCTTCTGCATAAACTTCTCCAGCCAGGTCTGGTTGGCCTGTTCACAAGTATGGGCAGGCGTGAGGAGGGCTGAAGGATGGACTGACCTTGTCCCTGACACTCTTCAAGGCTCACTGTGGCAGCCTGGATGTCCCAAAGGCAGCTGTGACCCAGCTGGATGAACCATGGCCCCAGAGCTGCTGTTGCAGCAGGGAGGTGTTCAAACTGAGAGCATCAAAACCAGGCATGTCTCAGTGTCTGAACCCCCAGACTGGGAAGCAGACCCTGATGGACCAGCACTAAATTGCTGCCGGTCCCACACTCCTCTCACCCAGAGCCAGCTAGGTGAGAGCTTGGTCTTGGGGCCACAACTCCATCTTTGCCCTGAAAATGAGGCCTTGGGGAGTCCTGTGATGGGGATGGAGCTCCCACCGTGGGCAGGACTTCTAGGCAGGCAGAGAGCACTGGGACAGTGCCTTTCACTCTGACTGGGAGGCCATGTAAGAGTGGGGAGCACAGCCTATCTCCCCCATTGCTCGCTTGGGCACCAACGCTCTCACTCCTCCTGCAGCGATGAGCCCAAACCCCCATTTCCATCCCTCCTAGGGGTAACTTCAGAGAGTGCAATGGGACCTCCCACCCTCCACATGCACCCAAGTGCTCTCCAGCTCCCATCCGGACAATGCCAACCCTCTCACCCCACGTCCCTGTTACCTGTTGGCAGCGAGGCAAGGACCAGCTGCTCTCAGACTCCCATGGCCCAGCAGCAAGATGAAGACTCTGGCCCTGCTCACGTCCTCTCCATGCCCAGCAGGAGTGAGGTGACCCTGTGAGGAGCAGAGACGAGCCCCCTGCTCACTCCTGCTCAGTGCCTGCCCTGGCTTCCTGCCTCATGAGCAAACTCTAGAGAAGCTGGTTCACAGCTTCAAGCACAACCGCAAGAGTTAGCGACAAACCCTGGTGGCTTCCTGCCATCCCCAGCATGCAGGGCTGCTGCTCTGGGTGTCTCTGATCAATAACCCTCAGGGAACGAGTGGGCAAAGGGATGCTGAGCCCCTCAGTCGCTGGGAAGCAGGGTCCTGCAGCTGGGAGATGCCCTGCGAAGGACCAGTGATGGGCAGGACGGGATTATCCCCTGCTGCTAGGGCAGTCCTGGCTACCCGAGCCCCCCTGGTCCCCTGCACTGTCCCCTCTCTGGTGCTCAGCATGGGCACGCTGGCACCTTGCACTCACCGTGACCCATCAGACCCTAACATGGGCTGTGGGACTCATCCTGGACCCCACAGTCCCCACTTTGACCATCACAATGGGGTTACCCCAAACGAGGCACCCCAAGAGCTGTGGTGACAGAGGCTGAAGCCAAGGGGCCACACTGTGACTCAGACAGGCTGCCAGCCCGTGTTTTTGGAGACAGCTTAAGGCAGAGCAATCACCACACTACTGTCTTGGCCTTTGAGATGAAGCCGCAGGTCCCTGCTGCCAGCTCTGCAGAGGCAGGGGCAGGAAGCTCAGCTGTGACAGGGGCATGGTGGTGGCACCTCCAGACGCAGCATCCACTTGGGCAGGGATGTTTCCCAGAGACAGCAACCATCCCCTTCCCATCCTGCTCACCAACCCCAACAGTGCCCCAGGCAAGGGGGTGTGGGGAGCAATGCATGGCCCGGGGGTGCGCCACAGCCTATTGGGGTGCATGTTGGGTTCTTCCTGTGTCCTGCTGCTACCCTGGGAAGGAGAAGCAGCCCCTGCAAATTATCCCCAGGTCACCCCACACCTTCCCTGGCACTGCTGGCGAAAAGTGTTCTGTGGAAGCCACATTCCCCAAGAAGCAACTTCTTTTGTGAGGGGTTTGCTGTTAATGAAGGAAGGGAAAAAGCTAAAATTAACCCCTCTGGTAAGGGCAGTGTTGTCAGCCCTGGGGGCTGCTACCCTGCTGCCAGTGTAGGGCTGCAGGGGGTTGGAGATGGAGCAGGATGGGAGCATGGGGGCTGAACCCTGAGCACAGCTCCAGCACCTTCTGGCCTCAAGCCCCAAAATCAACCCCTCCATTCGCTGCTGAGTTGGGGACAAGGACAAGCGTTTCCTGCAGCCATGCAGCCCAAGCACCCACTGTGGCCAGGGACACCTGGGGCCAGGTTGGCCATGAGGTCTGCAGAGCAGAGACAGTGTCTCCCTGACAGGAACTGGTGAGAAGTTGCTATCCTCTGAGCCAGGTTGGGGAAGGAGTGATGGAAGCACATCCCCCCTGCTGCCCGCAGGTCCCCCATGTCTGGAGGTTGAGGCAGGTGCCTGGGTGCAACAATGGGAAAAACATCAACTCTCACTTTCTATTCCTCCTCAAAGGGCTGCTTCCTACATTTGCCACTGCAGTTGACCCCACTGTCCTTAAGGACAAGGCAGTGGGTGTCCCAAAATACCTTGTGCCCAATGGGGATAGTGGCATGCCCATGCTGCTGTGGCATGGCATTGTGCTCAGGGCAGGGCTGGCAGAACCAGGGCTCAGCACTGCCTGCTGCTCCACAGTCCCCAAGGGGTTTTAGGAGGGTTCTTGAGCCCTGCCAAGTCTGGATGCACCCATGGGTTCCTCTGAGGTTCCCATCCAGGCTCACTGCTGAGCACTCCATGGAGTGCTGCTACTTTCAGCAGAGGGAGAACCGCCGGGAGCTGATGTTCATGCGGGTGATGCCGATGTGCTTAAGTGGCATGGAGAGCAGGAAGGCGGCCTTGGGTGGGATATTGCAGAGCAGATCCGAGTCTTCCTCACAGCCCTCAAGGCCAAAGGTAGCATCGTCTAGCATCTCCTTGTGCTGGTGGCAGGCCTGCTCCACCTTCAGCTGGTGCAGCTGTGCCCGCAGGTGCATCAACTGCTGTGCCAGGTGCTGGTCCATTGCCTGCATCTCCTGCTGCATGGGGAGATGGGCATCAGGGCTGGAGTGGGACCACTATCTGCCCAGGCAGCAGGGCTGGGGCTTGGCCAGGGCACAAGCCCACTGGGGACCACATGCAGAAGTGGCCCTGGGGTTAGCACGGAACCCTGGGGTCAGCACAGGGTCTGTGCTGCAATCACAGCTCGTGGTCAGCTCATGTTTGTACACACATGGCTGTTGCCACCCAGTGGAAACCACCACTGCTGTGCCGCCACACCAACAAAATCCACTGCACCAGCAGAGCAGGCAGGAGGGGAGTGACAAGTGCAGGCCAGGACAGAGCCATGACCCCTGGAGTTGTGCTGGGGACACAGGCAGAGCCATACATGCCCTGCAAAAACCCCACGTACACCAGCAGTGCTGGGCAAAGGAGCAAAGCATCGTGTTGCCAATGTAAGTGCCTTGGCCACAGCACATCCTGTTGCTGCTGCATGAGGTCGGGCTGCAGGCATTCTCTCTGTGCCCCATGGCCCTATCCCTGCTTTGAGGTCAGCCCTTTGCCACTCCAGTCTGCCCAGAAGCAACTCACCAGCTCCATCCTGAGCCACTCCAGAGCTGCCTCCATGGTGGCGAACCCACAGATGCCACCATCATGTTGGTCTTCGGGGTGCCCCATGCTCTTCTGTGCTCCCCTCCTTCCCCCGGGGGTCTGAGCGTGCCAGGGCTGGCCCCGCACTCGGGCTTCCCATTCCAGGTAGGAAGGTCTCCGCGTCTGGAGCTTCAGTTTGGCCGCCAGTGCCTTCACGCTGTCCAGGCTCTCTTCCTTCCAGGCAGCCTCCTCCTCACCCAGCTCCTTGAACTTGAGCTGCTCAAGGGCCATGGTGGCACCCACCACAGACCCCCCAGCACTCCGGGGTCACCTCTCTGCACTCAAAGCCTCAGTCCAAGCGGAGCCTCTGCCTCACTGCACCCGCAGGGCAAACGACACGCTGACCACCCGCAGCACCCACGTCCTGGCTATTTATTCACCTCCTGAACCCTGAGGGTTGGGGACGCTGAGGACAATTCCAACGGGAGGGGACTCTCCTTATCTAGAGGAGTGCGAAGGAGGAGGGGTTTGGGTGTGTTTTGTTGTTTTTTTTTCCATTGTCTTTCCTTGTTTTACACGATTGTGCCCCCCGGGAGGAGACTCCCGGTTCTTCGGGAAAGCTGCCACCCTCCACTGGCACACCCTGGCGAGGGGCGCCGGGGGCAGATTCACTCCCAGAGGCAGCGGCCAGGGACGGGTGTCCAAAAAAATCCCGAGGAAGGAAAAAGAAACCGGGGAGGGTGGGGGGGTGGGGGGTGTCCTGTGGCACGGGCGGGCTTTAAGGTGGAACCAGGTCAGGATGTGCCCACAACTCTCACCGCCATCCCGCCAGCGCGGTTCCCAGCGGCCGAGGGTGACGGGTCTCGCCCTTGTCCCATCACCGGCACCCCCCCCCCCCCCAGCACTCCCCATACCCGGTTCCCTACTGCTCCCGGCCCCTCCATCCTCCCTGTGCAGTCCCCAAATCCCCTGCCAGCCCCTGTGTTCCCTCGCTTGTCCCTTCCACGGGCCCACGCCAGGAGCCCCGGAGGCGAGGAGCCTCCGCCCGACCCCCGCCACAACTCCCCGCCCCGTACCCGCTGCCCTCCGGCGGAGCCGCCCCGGGGCCGGGCCACCTTAAACCCGACATCCGCTCTGCACCGAGCCGCCGTTCCGGCTGGGCTTTGCGGTCATCGTCCGCTCCCCACCGCACTCCGATCTTCCGCATTTACACCCACCACTTCCCCATTGGCACCCCTGAGGTCCTCCGCTTGCTCCCCACAGCCTCCCGCTTTCACCCTGCTGTTCTAGCTTGTGTCCTAAGCTCCCCTGCTCACACCACAGGATCCCTGCTTGCACGCTGAGCCCCCCAGCTTATGCTGGGTAGTTCCCTGTTTGCACCCACAGCTCCCCCTCAGGACCCTGCTTGCATCCCAGGATCTGTGATGCACCCCACAGTTGCACCCTGAGATTCTTGCTTGTGCCCTTGGCTCTCTTCTTGCACCCCCTGGTCCCTGCCTGCAGCAGGACCTGAGCAGGTAAGCACTGGGCTGGCTGGAGCAGGCAGCGCTGGCAGCTGCTTATCCTCATCCTCATCATCCTTGCTCAGGGCACCTGCAGCAACTTCTGCTCCATCCCCCAGGCCCAGGGGTGCTTGTGGGTGCAGAGTCTGTGAGAGCCGGGGCTCTGGCAGCACCATCCAGTCCCAGTGCAGGCAGGGAGGGACCCAGAGCTGCTCTCTGTAAGGCAGCAGTTACCAAACATCTCACCCTGCTGCAGCACTGCGAGCAGGATACTTGGCTTGGGATCTGAGCACTGCTGGGAGCCGAGAGACAGCTCAGCCTTCTCTGCCCTGTGCCTCAGTTTCCCCATCTGCAGTGACAGCATTGCTGGGGAAGCAAATGTCACCCCTCTCTGCAGTGAGGAAGTTCCATATGCTGTAGGTGACAACGTAAACACAAAGAGGGGGGTGAAGTTAGCCCCACGTGACGCAGAGGGAAGAGAGTTTTTGCAGCCCTGGGCTGTGCTACTGCAGGATTTCCCCTTTCTCCCTCCAGCGCCACGGCAGCAGTGGGTGGCACATCCCTCCATGGAGTTCTCAGAGCTGATCAAGACGGCGACGGTGGAGAATGTGTTGCTGTCATGTACGGGGCTGCCGGTGGTGAAGGGCACCCTATGCATCACCAGTCACCACCTTCTCCTCTCCTCCTGTCCCAGGGTGGACGGCCAGGCCAGCACTGAGGAGCTCTGGCTGCTCATCCGCAATGTGGATGCCGTGGAGAAGAGGTGGGTCTCCTCCATGGCTGGCACCATGGTCTCTTTTAGCAGTGTCACAGTGTCACCCCTGACTTAGCTGGAGGACATTCCCTACTGCTCTCCCAGTGTCCATGGCTACCCATTGTGCTGCCCACCAAGCCTCGGCCCTCCTCTTCCCCACAGCCCATGCTGGAAGATGCTTGTGGCACACACTGGGCATTAACCTTCTCTTCTCCTCCCTGCCTCAGAATGCAGAATTTAGGCTGGTACGAGCTCCCCTGGACTTACAGCTACGCAAGAGACACCAGGTTTGGTTTTTAATACCCTCTTGGCTCTGCATATCCAGTGCTTGGCTTCGTGTTAACTATCGCGGCACCCACCAGGCCCCGGCCAGGGCAGGGAGATGGTGGAAATCGCAGCTTCTGACAGGAGAGCCACCAGTGCTGGATGAGAGCCAGCGATCTGGCACCCACACAGCCCTCGTGCTCCATCCCTTGGAAAAGGGCTGCTCAGCCATTTTGTGTGTCTGTGTGTACATGGACCTATAGCCAGCACTCACCTCCTGCCTCCCCCAGGTCCACTGGCTCCTCCGGCACCATCACGCTTCGGTGCAAAGACCTGAAGGTGCTTCAGCTGAAGATCCCAGGCCTGGAGGAGTGTCTCAACATCGCCAGCTCCATCGAGGTGAGCTCCTCCTCACTGTGCCGGGGTGCAAAGGGTTGGCAGGAGAAAGCAGCCACCTGGAGTGTTTGATCTCAGTCTATCATTAATGTGGGTAAACAGCCCGCACACAGCCCTGGCATGGGTGCCCATGGGGTTGGTGGTGCCATAGATGTGGCCAGGAGAGGGGACCAGGTTTGGGGTTTGCAGAGCCCTCACCCCCTGCCCATGACCTGCTTCACCTTTGCTCCCACTCTAGGCCCTCTCCTCTGTGGACTCTCTGACGATGATGTACCCATTCTTCTACAGACCCCAGAGCCTGAAGCTCGAGGAAGGCTGGCACCTTTTCCCCCTCGAGCAGTACTTCCAGCAGATCGCCTCACAGGTGAGCCTGCAAGAGAGACCCAGCTGGGCTGGGGAGAGAAGCAACTCTCCCAACCCATGCTGGGCAACCCCACAATCCCATGTTCCACCCCTAGACGAGCCGGTGGCGGCTGAGCAATGTGAACTGGGACTTCACCACCTGCCCCACGTACCCTCCAGCAGTCATCGTGCCGGCAGCAGTGGATGATGATGCCCTGCGGAAGGCTGCCCGTTTCCGGCAGGGAGGGCGCTTCCCTGTCCTCAGCTATTACCACCCCAAGAATGGCACCGTGAGCCCATCTCCCTGTCCAGCTGCTCTTCCCCTGTCCCACCACTGCCAGCAAAGGTGGCTGGAAGCCCCCAGCTTGGTTTGACCCCACAGGCAATGCTCCGCAGCAGCCAGCCGCTGACAGGTCCCAACCGAAAGCGCTGCCACGAGGATGAGCTGCTTCTGGGGATGGTACTGGACAAGGCGGAGCAGGGTTTTATCATTGACACGAGGTCAGCACAGACTGCAAAGCAAGCTCATATGACTGGCGGGGGCACGGAGCCCAAATTCTCCTATCCGCAGTGGAGGCGGCTGCACCAGCCCCTGGAGAGGTGAGGGGCTGTGCTGAGGCCTGGTGCTGTCGTGACATGGGTGATCACACTGCCCTGCCAATGACATTTGGACTCCAGCCCCCCTCTGCAAAAGCCTTAGCAAGCCCCTAACACCATTTTCCTCCCCTCTCAGAGGCCGCCCGCTGCAGGAAAGCTTTATTAAGCTGGTGGAAGCCTGCAACACCACCTTGACCAACATGGACCACTGGCTGAGTCGCTTGGAGAGCTGCCGCTGGCTGAGCCACATCAAGGCAGCCCTGAGCACGGCCTGCCTGGCAGCACAGTGCATGGACAGGTAATGGGGGGCTGTGGTCCCCACTTTCACCCTCCCAAAGCTCTCAGTGTTGCACAAACTTTGGGCATTGCACTTCCTGCAGCAAAGAAGCCAGTGTGCTGGTGCATGGGGTGGACGGGACGGACACGACACTGCTGGTCACGGCTTTAGCCCAGGTGATCCTGGATCCGTCCTGCCGCACGCTCATAGGCTTCCAGGGGCTGCTGGAGCGGGAGTGGATCCAGGTGAGAGTGGCAGTCCCCAGGGGGATAAGGATCTCTGCACCCCCAAACTTTCTTTCACCCCATTGTTCCCTGTCCGGGTCCCACAGGCCGGGCATCCCTTCCACCTCCGTTGTGCCCGCTCTGCCTCCTCCCATGCCCGGCTGAAGCAGGAGGCACCACTTTTCCTTCTCTTCCTTGACTGCGTGTGGCAGCTGAGCCATCAGTTCCCCTTCTCCCTGGAGTTCAGCGAGCGCCTCCTCCTCACCCTGTTTGACAATGCCTATGCCTCTGTCTATGGCATCTTCCTGTGCAACAACGAGAAGGAGAGGCAAGTAGGGAGGACACCATTATCCCTTGGGAGCAATGCCACAGTCACCCTTGAGACAAAGAAAAGCTCTCATGATCAGAGCTGGGGTCACATGAGGACCCACAACCCCTTGCAGGGGTTGAAGTGCATCTTGACTCTCCCATAGGTGCCTCTGTAAAGTGAAGGAGAGTACACACTCTCTCTGGGCCTGGCTGAACCGGCCTGGAGAGAAGAGGAAGTACCTGAACCCTCTCTACTCCCCCAATGCCCTGGTCATCTGGCCCTCCGTGGAGCCGCAGAGCATCCACCTCTGGCAGGGTGAGCTGGGTCCTGCTCCGAGCTGGGCCGCATGAGGGAAAACTGCTCTGCTTTTCATAGAATCCCAGCTTGGTTTGGGTTGGAAGGGACCTCAAAGCTCATCCAGTTTCAACCCCCTGCCAGGGGCAGGGACACCTTCCACTAGAGCAGCTTGCTCCAAGCCCCTGTGTCCAACCTGGCCTTGAAGACTGCCACGGATGGGGCAGCCACAGCTTCTCTGGGCACCCTGTGCCAGCGCCTCAGCACCCTCACAGGGAAGAGCTTCTGCCTAAGAGCTCATCTCAGTCTCCCCTCAGGCAGGTTAAAGCCATTCCCCTTGGCCTGTCCCTATAGGCCCTTGTCCAAAGCCCCTCTCCAGGTTTCCTGTAGCCCCTTTACGCACTGGGAGCTGCTCTAAGGTCTCCCCAGAGCCTTCACAGCTGGAATAACCACAGCCCCTTCCTCCTAGGTTTATTCCTCCGATGGATCCGTTCATCCCAGCACCTGGATGAGGCCTGGGGGGAGATCCAGCGGTTAGCAGAGTGTCACAACCCCCCCCGGGAAGGAGAGCACATGGAATAGACTGAGCCAGGCCCTCTCTGACCCCGTTGCCTGGACAGAGGATGAAAGATGAACAGTAGCAGGGACAATTCGGTCCCTGTGGGTGGCTGGGCCAAGGTGAGCCAAACCTGTAACACCCTCTCCACAAAGGGCTGCAGCTTGAGTGTTGCGTCAGTCACTTCAAGCTGGGAGCCAGCCAGGGAAATCTGCCCTTGAACCCA